TTGAAAAAATTACTATACGTATATCAAATTCTTAAAAAATATTTTTTATTATAAAAAATTCTTAAAGATCTGTAATATATTAGGTTTTTTGGTGACTTGAAAAAGTAAGGTTCACCAGCTTTCGTCGCTACTCACCGAACCCTCCTCGCCCTACGTTTTTCCCCTAAAACAAAAGCTGCCCCTGATAAATTGCAAGCTCAACAGGCCCAGTCGTAACTCAAAACTGGGAAGATGCCACAGAAAAGGGGTTTGGAATATGGATCGCTGGTCAGTGGCCCTGAATCGAGGCGACCTGCTACCTGTTGCACCGGCAGCTACCGCGAGCAACTTGCAATGAATTATTTTAATGACGAGAGAGAAGCCCCTTCGGTCGATCCTGGTCGATCCATGCGTAAGAAGATACGCCGCCATATAGAGATCCAGTCGCAAAAGAACCAGTTTCCAGCTTCCCGTTCCACTTCTCAGATCATCAGACAGCCATTGAGAGTTGCGCTTGCAAGCCAAAATTACCGAAATAAAAAGAAAACACCCATATGTATATAAAAAAAAGTTACCAAAAACTGTGCGTGAGGCTTAAGCTCGTTCGTTAAGCGGATTTTATCGGCGATCTGGTTGAAATTTCACCAGAGGTGCCCTTTTCTTTTTTTGACCACAATTACGTTGAGGCCTTGCAATTTGGAAGGCTGTACGCGCCACGAATTCCGCGATCCGATCCGAATCGAAACGATCCCAATTCCTCGTGCGATGAACTGCACTTGGCACATCATTTTTTCTTTTTTTTCTGGCAAGAGGCTCAGGGAAAATCTTAATTACCACCTAGCTAGTTGCAAATGCAGATTCAGTTTGGTTAAGCCCCCTCCGAAAAGCAATTAAAAACTCTGATTGCCTTGTGAGTTTTGGTTCGGGACTCTGAATTCGGGAAAAATTGAAAATTCAATTCCTGGCTGCGACAGCCATAAGATACTCGGCAAAGTTGGGGGTGCACACACCCTAAACGTGTATCTCAAAATTTGATAACCCAACCGCACTGGCAGCTGCAGTTGCAAGTACCAAGTTGCAAGTTGCAGGTTGCAGATACTTGGATTGCGTTCGTGTTTGTGCTGGCAATTGCAACTCAATTGCGCATTTGCCACCGCAAGCATCAATATGTGGCATAGGCATAGGCGTAGTCATAGCCATAGTCAGGGAATAGGAACCATAATCACGTCTGAGCACAGAGAGATCCAAGGAAGCCACGCCCCCGTCCCCAGAGTCTCGTACTCCCTGCGGCCAATTTAATTGACAGATTTAGTGGTCCTCGATTGGCAGTGCGGAAAATTAGTTTTCCGTCTCGCAGTCAACCTCAACCGGGGCTGAGTCGCATTTAATTGTTTTATAGACACTCGAATTCGAGAATCCGGGGGGGACGACGACGTCTAAGCCATGTACTGAGCCCACCTATATATCTCTTTATATAGTATATCTAGCAGATGTCGATGGGTGTGTGTGTGTGTTCATCATATACGCAAGGTGAAACACGCCCCTGACAAACACGCACGAAAATAGATTTAATTAAATTGCGAATAAAATGCGTGCGATGGTGTGCCATAGTATGGTATGGGACACATGTGTGCCAAGCCATCCAATTAATCGATGGCCGATCGATTTCTCTTCTCGCTTTTTGGCAGCTTTCCCCTCCAAAAAAAAGGGTTTCTCTTACGCGTGTCCTTTTGGGTTGATTTCTGGGAAACAAAAATAAAGGCAATTAATTTCCGGTTGGGCCTGAGCAGAAAGTTTTATGTCTTCTACGATTCCGCGTAATCTAAGTATTTGTATCTGGGCGAAGATAGAGATACCGGGAATGCCCCCATCCGAATTCCAGCTTATCAGAGCCCAAAGACAGCTCCCCAATTTCTGGTAAAAGTAAAATCTCATCTCAGATAGCACGTGACGATGACAAAAACAAAACATAAATTAGAAAGAGTGCGAGATAAGGCCATGGAACAAAATCGAATTAAATATAAGTAGTGTATGTGTAGCATGTAGCCCCGCATCTGTGTGTATAAATACTTATAATAGAAGCATAGATCACACGATGTGCCGCATGCAACATGGAGTCGGCGTCACCTGGAGATTTATGGCCGCTTGCAACGCTCCCAAAACCGGGGGTGAGTCACTCCCCTAAGACAGAGGGAGATGGGTATACTTAGAGTCAGAACGAGACGGGCATAGATATCGCTCCGTTTCGGTTCAAAGTTCGCTGCAAATGGGAAACACGTAAACTGTCAAAACTTTAAATCCCTGAGGAATTTAAGTTAAAAAATATAACACGTACTGGGGACCCAGGCGCAGCTGTGCTACCCAAAAAAAAAAAAAGAACAGAATCGAGAGAAAAAACATGAAGACGGAGTCGACAAAACCTTGAAAATGTATCTTCAGGGCGGCCGAAGGAAAACCATGGAAAGGCCCCATGGAAAAACCAACTGGAACCGAATAAATACTCGGAAAAAAGATTTCCTAAACTCACACCCCCATTCCACCTTCGTTTTTTCTCCCTCGTTTAAATTATCTACGAGAAATTTCGCGCCTTGCCATACAAAGTTTTATTGTACCACCCCCTTGGTCCGCACATACCAGCATTTAAATGATGTACTTAGAAATACACAAAAATTTTCCAAAAGTCTACAAAAGAAAATGGCACAGCACAGCAGGACGCAGATGAAGAAGAAGCAAAGAAGCGAGCCAGCAAAATGAATTTCGCACTTTTTCGCATAATAAATTTCGAAACTTGGCCAGCACTGGAAAAAATCTAAACGGGAGGGGGGAGGTTGAAAAAAAAATCGAGGCAAAGCAAAGTTTCGTAAAAAGTTTATTTTTTGCATATACCAAGGGCTTTATTTTCTTCTTTTATTTTTTGGTAAGGGAAGGGGAAGTTACGATAAAATAGTCGGTCGCCGAGTGACAAATTCCATTTAAAATTGCCGAGCAAAGCTCACGTACTCCTCAAGTCGAGTCCCTACCCCCTCCCTGGGCAACTCCTAAATAAAATGAAACTTTTGCTAAACCTCAGCGTGATGTATTCCAGGCAAAAGGAGCTGGAACGAAGGGAGCACAACTGCCGGGGATTTAAGTTAATCAGTAAACAGGTTTAGAGCTAAATAAATTTATTTATGCCTTTTACGCTGCTTGTTTGGCTGAGAGTCGGGCGGGGTTTACTTGGGAATACTTCGAGGCAGCATCTTTGTTTAATTGAAATTCCTATAGCAATTTAAACAAGTAGGTTGTAAGAAAAATAAATATCGTAATAAAAATAAAACAAAAAAGGATCTTAAATTCATTTGGTTTTTAAAGCCTTTGTCGACTTTATAAATGCGACAAATTGCCATAAACTCACGCATCGCAAATCTTGTGACCTGTCACTGGCCAATTTTCTCGCACATTAAATGGGTCTTTATAATTCTTGCAAGGCATTTTAAAAATAAAGCCACATTAAGCAAATTTATCTGCATGAATGCCTGAGAGAGATAGATAGATAGACTATATAGATGATAATTTCTTTGTTTGCATCCTGGCCATTTTATTTCCATATCATTTTTATTGTCTATAAAATTTTTTCGCCATTTATAACCACCCACACCCACACAATTGCACTCGCAACGTTATAACCGTGCTGGCAAAATGTTTGTGTATGAGTGAAAGATAAATGCGTTTTCACTTTATGACTTTCGTGTCGGCATAAATTTGTTAATACCTTTAGGCCAAATTTATAACATAATAAATGCTCATAATATTTAACTTAACATTGTGCCCAGGCTCGGGACCAGGAGAAAGACCTGGTTGCGGAAAGTTGGGTGGATCGGAATGGGGGGATGGGTTTTCGATAAAATCAGGCAATGTCTGGTCCTCTCCTTCGATGGGAGATGGGCGATGGGCGGGAGACGAGACAGCTGCAGTGCATTTGCACACACGAAATTGAGTTATTGCACTTGAAGGCAAATTAAACTTCATAAATATTTAAAATCAGAGATTAAACACGGCATTGTGCTGCCCTGTTGATGCGACTTCTGGCTCCCCAGCTCCTCAGGCCCTTCAGCTCCACTGGCTCCTCATCTGGTCTCTCAGGTTGCCAATTAAACGGGCATTATCTGGCATAACTGCAATTTAAGTAGCCACATTCGCCATCACATCTCCCCAGTGCCGAGTGCTCGCACGTTTCTCCTTTTCATTTTAATGTTGCTGGATGGTTGGATGGTTGGTTGGTAGGATTTCGATGTGGTTGCAATGACAGCACGGCAGCAACATCGGCGGTGCAGCGGCAAACGATCAATTTAAAGTAACGATCCCGCGAGCAGAAACAAAAACCACAACTGCAAATGGCGATACTCGTAAAAATGAAATGTATTTCTTTTTTTTTTTTTTTTTGTTGCCATGATCTCCTTTTCTTTTACCCCTTTGCGAGGCAATTCCGGCCTACGTTCGAGCTGCTTGATGATCGCTGGCAAAAAGGAGAATTTATATTTACGACTTGGCCAAACAACGGCGAACAGCAAACAAATGTTGAGCAGCTTGTTGCAATTTTTCAATTTAATTTGAACGTTGAAAGGCCAAATATAAATAGCCGTACATTTTGACAATGATTCGTACAGAATAAGTATACAATTTTGAATTCATAAAGCAATTAAAATTAAAATTGTTTTAATACACATTATAAATGCCTGAAATTTTAAATACATTGAAATACCTCTCTGGTGTTTCCGTAATTTATTTTGGTTGATACTAGGATACTTTTGAATATCCTATCAAACACTTTGTCAATGTTTTTCTACCAAAATCCTGAATTCATTTGGAACCTGTTGTTTAAATAGAAGTAATAAATTCTAAATAAATATTACGTTCACTGGAATATTCTTAAAATATTTGAACACAAATTGCTTATAAACACCAGGTCCATTTTGAAAATAAAGTATTTGTATTATTATCATTTTAGAGATTTCTTACCCATTCCCATCTCTATTCTCCAGGTACAAATGGTCTGCGAAGACGCGGCCGACAGACATACACCCGCTACCAGACGCTCGAGCTGGAGAAGGAGTTCCACACGAATCACTATCTGACCCGGAGACGGAGAATCGAGATGGCGCACGCGCTCTGCCTGACGGAGCGACAGATCAAGATCTGGTTCCAGAACCGGCGGATGAAGCTGAAGAAGGAGATCCAGGCGATCAAGGAGCTGAACGAGCAGGAGAAGCAGGCGCAGGCCCAGAAGGCAGCGGCGGCAGCGGCTGCGGCGGCGGCGGTCCAAGGAGGACACTTAGATCAGTAGATCATCGGATCTATCGATCTATAGACCTTTAGATCTGTAGGGATGAATTAGGCGGAAAGGCGCAGAGACAGATACAAAGCAACTATATTGTAACAAATGAACTATTTACTTAAATGAATAATATTTAAATATTTTGATGGTACTTGTGCGAATACGAAACTTAACCTAAATCGAACCTAATGGAATTATTTCAAGCGTTTGAGCAGCAACCGAAAATACGTAAATGAAACAAAACTACAAACTAATTAACTAGGCTAAGTAAATAAAAGTAGTGGAAAGAGCGCAGATTATAAACCTACTTAGAGTTAAACAAGAAAAACCAACAATTTTAATTTAGTTCCAAGCAAAAAAATTTAAAAAAAGATTCGCAAGCGTAAGATTTATGTTTACCACATGTAGAGAGATCCCTCGAAATTTAAACCTATGTCCTGCCCCCTTTGTTGCTTACTGCTATGTTTAAATTAATTTTCGCGAAAAATACTCAAAAATTTAAGAACAAAACAAAAACTATACCAATATAATGTTGAGCGCGAGCAAAATTCTGTTGATATGAATTTTTGGTAAAAACCAGTTCTAAACCAATTTAAGATACGTGACAAAGGAAACGAAAAACAAAAAGAAAACTATTAAATTTTAACTTGAATATAAATAGAATTTGTTAGCCAAGTAAACATATTGCGAAACGAAAAACAAACGTTTTTGGGAGGATCGAATATTTGAATGTGTATAGTTTGTGCTTATTAAATAAAATAATGCAATTTTAGTTAACTCTGTTTATTTTTAAACGAATTTGTTTAGTTCTCGCCCAAACGACTAGAGTGAAGCTGTTTCTTTAAGTAATGTGTAGTGTGTTTACCTTTTAAATTAAATTAAATTAATGCCTAATTTTATTATTATTATGTTTAGTTTAATGACAAGCGTTTATGAGATTATCCGATAGAAGCGGCGAGAAGAGGAGTACGACAAACCGTTTGCCCCGGCAAACGCAAATAAATTATTGGTTTTGAAAAAATCTAAAAAAACAATGAGAAAACGAATTCGATTGTTGTGTTATTATTTTAGTTCATTGCCATTGCGATTTTCTGTTCTCCCAGTGTAATTAGAGCCTGAGTTGTTTGAGAGTTTGCGGGCTGCCCGCTTGCATGCGAAATTGCTTTTGATCTCGTTCCGTTAATTGATCGTGAGTTGTACGCTCTATAGAGATACCCATATACCGATTAGATAACGACTACGATACCGATACCATATATAGTTTAGTGGATCCCCCCACGAGCTGTGCTCGAATCACAAGTCGGTGTGTCCCGAAACTTGATCCTTCAGTTGAGTTTCCGAACTCAGTTTGTCCCAGTTTGGGGGCCAACGATGCCCTGCACAAGATGTATACGTAACTAGAGCCTAAGATTCGATTATAGATATATTATATATATATAAATCTTGATATATATTTATGTATTTATATGGATCGAGTATAAATGGACAAACAATAAGAGAGAAAATATCTGCGAAACGGAACGGAGGCAGATGCAAATACGTAAATAAGAATAAGTTAAATGTTATAGATTTTAAACGCAAACCGAGATACGTTACTGTATACATACACTGAACGAAAAAGTGGCGAATGAGAGGCGTGGATCGATGGGGTATTCCCCGCCACCGCAAACCAAGAATAGACGCTAAAATACAATACTTGAATATTTAAATGTGGATTATCGTAGCAACAGATATACGTAAAAAACGAGACCGATTCGGAGGAGTCTTGCATATAGTACTGCATCCTACCATTTACCTACTACTCACTTAAGTAATACCAGTGCATTCGTAGTAATAATAATCGCTACTTACGTGTACATTGCTAGTGGCTTTTACTTTAGACTCTCTGACCCTCGGACAGGCGGGACGAGCAGCCTATCCAGATCGAGATTACTACTTTTCCTAAATAAAGATCAGATCAGACCTACAAATACTTTGCAGCTACTTTTTCTACTCGTAATTTCCCCTCCCCGCGATCGCCGATTGGACCCGCAAGCTCCGTTTATACCTAATCTATTTAACTCTAATTTAAAGCCATTCTATGTTAGCTCCGTAAGTTGTAAATTATCAATATGAACTATACGTAAAAGAACAAACACAAAAACAAACAGCAACCAGTGAGAATGTGGAAAATGAAACAAATAAATTAAACAAAACGATTTAAACAATTTATGAATTGTCTTTGGATTTTTATTGAAAAGGAGTGTGTTCTAAAATGTTTATGGTATGAACTTCTATTACTGGGTGATGGATCTAAAAAAGGAACAATAACCCAGATGGGAATGGATGACTAATTATAGAATATTCATTTCTATGACTCAATGAAATGGCAAAGGAGGTAGAACTAGATGAACCTGAAAGACCTTCTTTGCGTATTAATTATTAAATAAAATTAAATGACCAATTTTATTGTTTATCTTGGGTCCAAAAACTGACCTCACTCCAGACTCATTCTTTCAGCTGTTTACTTTATACACTTCTAAAACAGTAAATGTACACGAATTTTACTTATACCTTACATATTGGTCTTACTTTTACTTTTATTTTACACTTATACTACTTACATTTTACAAAAACAGATGATGTAAATATAAGGTAAGGAACACGGCTAAGACTCTAGCACGGACTCATTCCCTTGTGAGTCTTATAATCGAAGCAGGGGCGCAGCCAGAGGTGGCTGTTTTTGGGGGACAAATCCCCCTATCTCGCTAAGTCCTGCGACATCTTTGTCTTTAAAGGTATGCTTCAAAAAATGTCTTAAAGATCACGAGCAATTTTGGTTTTAAAGGTTTCCTATAATAAATGAAATTTCGGTATAGATTAATTATTAGGTTAAGAAAATCAAAACTCACTATTTCTTCGTCCGTTATTATACAGCACACAAGACTCTTAGCAATCAAGTCGATACGATTAGCGCTCTTCAAACGTGTTTTGTGATTGTTATTATAAGATCCAGCTTGAATTTACTTTAGCTCAGTTCCCTTTGTGAGCTCGGTCGGCATCGTTATAAGCTCGGTCGCACGTGCTTTCCAAATCACTTTTATCAGTACGCACTTATTTTAACAACCACCTATGTGAGTGTTTTGTGCTCTCAAGTGCATTTATAGTGCATCCGGAAGATAGATAGCAAAAAAGAGATTATGAAACTCAACTCGTTTTTATCAAATCTATTGTTTCTTTGTGCGTTCTCGCTGAGGCTCAGAACAAGTGAGTAAAGTTCAAAATGATAATACAATTCGATCGAAAATAAACATTTTCTGTACATATATGCGAGCTTTGGTTGTATACATATTGGCATGTTCAAATGGTTATACAAAACAAAGTTCCTCTCAGAGAGATATTCTCAAAACGAGATTCAAGCCGGTTCATCTTGAAATCGCGCGTTGCATTCCCATCAGTCATCTTTGTTGATATCTGCTGGTTATATATTTGCTTAGTATAGACAAGAGAGCACACTATTTTTAAATTGAAATCCAGTGTTTACGGAAATAAATAATAAAAAACGGGCTATTTTAGCAAACTTGCCGGCAGTTCTCACAGCTACGTAACCGTTTCTAGGAAATATAAGTAATTTCTAATAACATTAAATTCAAGGAACACAGTTGTGGAAAAAATACAACTTACATCTTCTCGTTCGCATTTAATTTAAAATATTAAAAATGCAACTATTTAAAGATCTTTAAATAAAAAATTTCGGATATAAGCAGAAAATGATATGGTGCTTAAAAATTCATGAACATGGTTCAGTATCCTTTCAAATAATTGCATAAGACGAACAAGGAATATTTGTAGATTTCTTAATATATTTAAGTACGGGATAATTTCAGTATTTTCGGAATGTGATAGCTCCCAGTTTGAGTGCGACAATGGCAGCTGCATATCGCAATATGATGTCTGCAATGGCGAGAAGAATTGCCCAGACGGATCCGATGAAACGGCCCTGACTTGCGTTTCTCAGCGGCAGCACTGCACCAAACCCTATTTTCAGTGCACCTATGGAGCCTGTGTGATTGGGACAGCGGGATGCAATGGAGTCAAAGAGTGTGCAGATGGTTCCGACGAAACCAGGTTGAGATGCGGCAACGAGGACGATATACGTCAGCACGATCGACGTCTTCAGGGCAATTGTCAGTAAGTAATAGAACAGGTATTTCGAAAAAAAATAAATTAAATTGGAAAAATCATCTATACATCTTTTAAAAAATATCCTAACTTACTATTGAAACACACTTCTTTTTAGGGACAATGAGTTCAAGTGCCCATCCGGAATTTGCCTGGACAAGGGCAATTTCCTGTGCGACGGCAAGGACGACTGTGCGGATGGGACCGGGTTCGACGAATCCGTGGATCTGTGCGGCCACATGGAATGTCCGGCGTATTCCTTCAAGTGCGGAACAGGTGGCTGCATCTCGGGTTCCTTATCCTGCAACGGGGAAAACGACTGCTATGACGGATCCGATGAGGCCCCTCTGCTTTGTAACACCACCAAGAAGGTCACCACCCCAGCGCCGGTTGAGACTCCCCTGGAGCTGCTGGGATGTCCCCTGCCAATTGGCGACGAAAGGCCCATCTTGACGGGCGAGGGCAGCCGCATCCTGACTGGGCCCATCATTCGGGGAACTGTGCGCTTCTCCTGCAAACAGGGTTATGTTCTGGAAGGCGAGGAGAGCAGTTATTGCGCCAAAAAGAAGTGGAGCACTTCCACGATCCCGAAATGCGTGAGTAAGTGGTTCTTTTTAAGGTCTATGGTAGGTTTATTGTCTCATATGGGGTTCTTTCCTTTCGGTAGAATACTGCAGCACCTCTGGGGAATTCGATGGCTACTCCACCAAGGCCTTGTGCACTCACAACGGACAGCAAGTGGAATGCAAGAAGCCATTTCATCCACCCGGAACTGAGGTCAAATTTGTCTGCTCCACTGGATTCAAGACCCTTAGCAGTCTGCCGGAGATGAAGTGCATGAAGGGAGGTTATTGGAACAGAGGTCGCCAGCGATGCGAACAGGATTGTGGACAGATAGCCACGCCCACTAAGAGCTTCTCGGCTAATGGGTATACGATCAACAACACGGTTGTACCATGGCATGTGGGATTGTAAGTCTAGTTTTGGAATCAGTGAATGGCATTTCTAATCAGAACTCCCTGTATAGGTACGTGTGGCACAATGAGAAGGACTACCATTTCCAGTGTGGAGGATCTCTGCTTACTCCGGACCTCGTAATAACCGCTGCCCATTGCGTATACGATGAGGGCACCCGACTACCTTATAGCTACGACACATTCCGGGTGATCGCGGCCAAGTTCTATCGCAACTACGGGGAGACCACACCGGATGACAAGCGGCGGGATGTGAGGCTCATCGAAATAGCGCCGTAAGATACAAACTGTATGTATTTCAACAGATACCTAAACATTTATTTATCCCCCATAGTGGCTATAAGGGTCGCACAGAGAACTATTACCAGGATCTGGCCCTACTCACCCTCGACGAGCCCTTCGAGCTGAGCCATGTGATTCGACCCATTTGCGTGACCTTTGCCAAATTTGCGGAGAAGGAGAGCGTAACAAATGAAGTGCAGGGAAAGTTTGCTGGCTGGAGCATTGAAAACAAGCACGAACTGCAATTTGTGCCCGCTGTATCCAAGGCCAACTCCGAGTGCCGGCAGAATCTGCAGGACATTCAGGCGGACAAGTTCTGCATCTTCACACAGGGCAAGTCTTTGGCCTGCCAGGGTGACAGTGGGGGAGGATTCACCTCCGAAGTACAGACCACTTCCTTCTCCACCCAAAACACCGCTCGCCACTACCTATTCGGGATAATCAGCAATGCACCTAATGCAGATCAGTGTGCTCACAGCCTGACGGTGTTGACCAATATCCAGTACTTCGATGACATGATTCTGAATGCGATAAAGAGAAGCATGGAAACCAGGGCCTAAGTCCTTAAATAAGTTAGCTTTCTTCCAATTAGAATAGATTTGTATTCAGAGATTCGGCGGCCATACTCTTTTGTTTTCCAGCCAATGCTAGATTAAGCTGAAAGAAAAAGTATACTAAATAAAACTAGTCTCAAGAAAGTCAGATTTATACAAACAGATTTTTTTTGCCTTTTATCTCACTAGATCTTAATTTTCACTATAAAAGCACGTTTCCTTTGTTAAATTATAGGATATATTTATTAAAGACGAATGGTAGATTATATATATGAGAGTGGGGATTATGATCGTTTTTTATTTATATATGAGAGTGGGGATTATGATCATGTTTCCATTATTTATCCTCAATTTTTAGTTTGGCCGATTCCCGAATGTTGAATTTGGGAACACGATCTTTTCTGGCCAGTATTTTGTTAGAGTTGTCCTCGATATTAATGGCGCTGATGATCAAATTGACCCGTCGCTCAATAACGCCAATGAAAAGCTTCACATTGTGAACTGTCAAAAATGTCTTGGTACTGAGTACATTTAGATGGGGCATCATCACAGGCCAATTGTCTGAAAACGATTGTCAGTTTGAAATGATTAGAGGAAATCTTCTAAGATCTAACCTGAATATATCCTCGATGCCCTTAAGAAGCTGTTCTAGTCTGATGCTCAAGGTGCGCTTCTTTTCTCTAGTCTCCTCCGCGAGTTGCTCAATTCTTTCTTTTTCAGCATTTAGATAATCCAGAGCCTCAGTCTTCAGCTTCAACTCCTTTTCGGTCTGCTCTGATTTCTGACGTTCTGTTGGCAATATATGTAACGAATAATATATTTACGGGTAAAGTCACACTTTAATATCACACTTTAATGATTTTAATCATAAACCCACCTATTTCATCCTGTAGTTCCTGTGTGGAATCGTTCAGCACCTCCACCTCGTGACTCAGCTCATTGACATAATTGAAGAGGGCAAAGTTCTCGTCCTCCTGCCGCTTAAACTGGGCCACCAGTCGCTCCGCATCCTCCTCGCCGTATAGCAATTTGATCTTCTCGATGATCTCCTTGTACTCCAGGAGCTGCCTCTCATAGTTCTCCTTCTGGTTCTGCTTCTTGTCCAACTCGCGCTGCTCCAGCTCCGGGTTTAGTCGCTTTTGGCCTTTGATGTCGAAGAATTTCTGTAACTTAGCATCGTGCTCCAGGCGGCGCTGCATCTCACGCATCTCCTGGATGTGCATCACCTTATCGTTCTCGTTGCGGTCCTTCAGGACGGATAGCTTATTGCACAACTCCTCCCGCTGGTCAAAGGCCAGAGTCGACTGGTCTATTAAATCCATAATGAACTTTTTGCCCTCGTTGAACTGAGTGACCATCGACTGCCACATGTCGTTGAAGTTGGCCCTTAAGGTTATCAAAATATTAGAAAGCTATTTCAGCACCCGGTTTTCTATCTTAAATTTGGGGAAAAAATTAGAACCCTTTAAATTTGATAACATAAACAATATTTTTATAAAACATTCTGAATAAAAATAGTATTTAGTGACCCCGACATATAACTAATTTTAATTTTTCTCACCGATCTTGCAGCATATGATTAATGGCGTCCCGCATCTTGCTGTTTTCGGTGAGCACATCGCTGCACTTTTTGTTGACCACATCCAAGCGGTTCTCCAGTTTGACCACGCTCTTCTGGACCTTGCAAATGGTGTCCTTGTAGCAGTTATCGGGCACTTCGTTGCGGCGCAGTGCATCAATCTCCTTTCCATTTTTCGGATGTGGCCCTCCAGTTCCCAAAGATTGGTTCGCTCATTTTGAAGCACCCTTTGCAGGTCCGCCTGCTGTCCCTGGAGAGTCCTAGGTGTTTCTCCCTCTGCAAAGGTGTTTATCTAATTATTAAAGATACTAAGCCATACAATAGCCACCCACATAAGTGTTCTTTCTGGCATGAGTGCCTCCTTCAAGCGTCTTGATTTCCTCCTTTAGCTTCTGGTGTTCCACTTGCAAAACGTTTATCATATGGTTCTGTTTTTTCAGTCGCTTGGCTTTTTCCTCGAGGAGACCTCGAAGGTCCAGTTGGAGACCCCGATGCTGGCGCTGGAGTCTCTGCAGCTCGGCAGTGGCCAATTGGTCAAGTTCGCTTTGGTCAGTCATTGTGACTTCGGCCTAGATATTAATACTTTAGATTACGATTCATTGATTCCATTTGTAAACAAGCGTTGCTTATGACAGGTTGCTTGGTAACGGCGTAGTTACATTCGGATAAGAAGAGACTTGGCCAGGATCCGCCACTGAAATCCCTAATAGCTTCAGATATATATTTTGTAAAAACTTCAGCGGGGAGCTTAGCTACTACACCCTCCGGGGACATCTGAGACTTCACACCAATTTGCTTACCCAAATGAGGGAACAACAAAAGGGGTTTTCAGATTTAAGGTTCCCGTAAAAGTACTTTGCAAATTGTATCAAATGCATCGGTTTTTTTGTCACACGGAATACATTGTCATTAAACACAAATAAAATTACTAAAATGTGTAAAGTTTCCAGACGCAAGAATGCGTTTATTGCTCTCGGTTTTTTTGCTGTGGCTGTCCCTGTATTCACTTTCATCTTTCAAAATCATTTTAAAAGCCGTGCAATATATAAATATGTAATATCATATGGAATCATATTGCTGTGGCCTATTCTTCTGGCACCAACCATATATTTCATCTATATGAAAAAGGTAAGTTTTCAAATATGACTTGTTGCGTATTAATTTTAGCTTAAACTTGCAGAGATATATCAGATTTCTGGTGCCATATGCTTTCATATGGTTAGTTCTAAGTTCTTTAATATTTATTTTTTTCCTACTTAATATGTTCCAAGTTTTGGATTACATCTACTTTTACCTAGATTTTAAAATTTTCTTCCCTCTAATGGTGTGTAAGTTAGAAATAATGCTCACCTGAGATTATTAAATAATAGTTATTATTCATTTAGGTGGTGTTTTTACAGGGTTTGTTATTCCAGTTTCTTTTTATTGTTATTACAAAAGAAAAATGTTGGCTTCGGGTGAATGAAAAAATTTGAAGTACAAAAATTTTAATTGGACTTAAAAGAATAGGAAAAAAGGTTTAAAACGTGGTAAGAAACCTGTACCAAATAATGAATTTTATAATGACTGACTAACTGAACACAAGGCCAGGAAGAAGACCCGGCATCGTCCCCCTTAAAGGATTTGAAGGTGATAAATTGATCGATAGAAAGGCACTGGTAAAATGTATAGATGTTACTGTTTAGTTGTTTATAAAGGCTTGAAAATTCTACTGCTTTTTTTTTTGATAAATAGTTTTCTTAGAGCATGCCGTAAATCAACATTTAATTTATAAATGTTAACTATTTTATTTGTGTACTGTTAATAATAGGGTGTTCTAAGAAAGAGTAAAAGGCCTGCATCCCTAAAAAAACCTGGGGTTGGGTGTCTTTGGGCAGTTCATAAGCAAGACGGGTGCTGGAGCGATTAATTTCAATGTCGAGGGTATGAAGATGTGTCCCCTCTGGAACCGATTCGACGATAATGGTTATTACCTTTTGGTTGTTACCTTTTGAACAGTTTAAAATGTGTTTCTCATAAGTTCTATCGATATTTTAACGAATCACACCCACCGCTATAGATAAGCAAATATTATGACTAAACAACTGGTGAGTCAGTCCACCCTCTAGTTTCACTTGTTAGAGTAGTTATACTGTTAAAATGTCTCGGTATTACTGCGGTTACAATCCGCCACCTCCCAACTTCAGTAACTTCCTTCCGGGTAAATTTAAAGATCGACTGCAGCGCCTTCCCAACTTTGGACAAATGCGAAAGTCTTGGGAAACCCACAAGAGACCCACACTGGTAATGCTCCATGTATTTGCCGATGACTTTGGAGCTCTGGAAAAATGGGTAGAGATAGCCTACAGACTTGCTGCCCCTGAAACTCTCAGCGTGAAAATGGACGTTTACGTCGATGATATGTGGCAGTCGTATATCTTTAATGAGGACGACTTTAGCTTTTTCCGGGACGACGATGCCTTCACCCTGGATTCATTTCCGCTGATCTACGCCGTAAGTGCGACTGGTGAAGTGTTCTTCTTTGGCAATTTTTCTGGACCGAAATTGCCCGATCTGGATAGCCTAAAGGATTTCTGTGAACAGGTAATAAACGGGAATGTAAAGGAACCCACCTCCAAGGACCCAAAGGTGGAGGTCATAAACTTGGCCAGCTGGAACGAGCTTGTGTACGCATCTGATAAAGATCTAGTCATTTGTTTATACAACTCCCTGCAGAATGGCACGGAGATTAATAATAGCCTAATGATTAATCTGGATAGGCTAGGCGAAAGACTGAAACAGGAGTCAGTACGACTGTACAAAATGGATATACATGATGTTAGTGTCCCAAAAAAGTTCAATGTAGAATCTGCACCCGCCTTCTTCATCCTGCAAGAAGCTCAAAAACATAACCCTATTCGATGTAAATATGAGCTGGGCACATGGACGATGCTGAGATTTGTGGCCGAAAATTCCAGCAAGGAGCTTAAATACTACAGCCGTCAAGGACATCTAAGACTCCACGCCAATTTGCTTACCCATATAAGGGACTTCTTCGATTTAAGCCACAAAAATGAGGTATTCTCATGTGAAGGAATCCCGAAAAATAATTTTGCAAATTGTACTTAAGCAAATGCAAGGATTTTTTTGTCACACGGAATACATTGTCATTAAATACAAATCAAAAATTGTAAAATGTGCAAAATTTCGAGACGCACAAGTGCTCTTATTGTTCTCGGTGTTGTGGCATTGGCTATCCCTCTGTTCAATATCCTCTTTCAAGATTATTCAGTGCCGCGTCAAATTTATAAATATGTCGTAACATTTGGCATTTTATTTTTGTGGGTGATTCTTCTGATACCAACCATGTATTTCATCTATATGAAAAAGGTTAGTTTTTATATATTACTTGTTGAGTATTAATTTTACCTTAAATACGCAGCGATTTATAAAATTTTTGGTGCCATATGCTTTTATATGGTTAGTTCTTAGTTCCTTAATATTAATTTATTTCATACTAAATGTATGGGGTATTTTGGATTACGTCAGCTTTACCCTAACGGCAAGATATGCCTGCGGTTTAATGGTGGGTAAGTTAGAAATAATGCTCACCTGAGATTATTAAATAATAGTTGTTATTAATTTAGCAGGTGTTTTTTTAGGGTTTTTGACTCCAGTTTCTTTTTATTGTTATTACAAAAGAAAAATGTTAGCTGGGGATGAATGATTTCTCCAACAGGAAGGAAGTGTCAAATTTAAAGTACAAAAATTTTAAATTGGGACTCAAGAGAACAGAAAATAAAAGGTTTAAAACGTGGTAACAAACCTGTTCCAAATGAAAATTAAAAAATTAACATTTATATGTATGTATAAAGCTCATTAAACGTTACGAACTATGATATGATATGATGATTATAAATTTTATATTGAACGTCTATTACTTGGCGCCCTAAGTACTACCGATAAGTGCAGGGATGATTTGGTCGCTAATGAATACTTGGAACATGGTCACCTAGCCTACGCATCTCTAACATTAAGAACAGCTGATTTGACGGCCAGAACGGCGGCCCAAAGATGACCGTCCGCAATTAGGTCGCTAATGAAATTAGGATGTTGGTTTTACAAAAGAAGACTGACATAGACATGCAGTTTTCTTGGATCACAGGAACTGATAAACGAAGCATATGAATTTCAGCTCAAGTCTGAGCTTTTCAAGTTTCATGTCAAGAAGGCGCATCCGCATCTGGAAAGTGATGATGCGAGGTCCAGGAACGCAAGAGGAACGCTGGCAAAGACCCGTCATCTTATCCTTAGAAGACTTGAAGGTGGTAAATGGATATCTGGAACTTCTGCCAAAACCCCTTAGCCAGGCGGAAACTCCATCGATAGAAAGGCACTGGGAGGAAGCTTACACCCTGCCCCAACTCCATGGAGCCAACGAAAGCGGACGGGTACAAAGGTTTCAGGGAAAAGACAAGTCCAGCAGAGTGTACTTGATTCCCAATCGATCCCAATTCTTTAACCATAATGTGGACAATATGCCAGCTCTGTTGCACCAACTGCTGCCCGCCTATGATCTCATCGTGCTGGATCCTCCGTGGCGGAATAGGTACATTCGCAGGCTAAAGCGGGCCAAGCAGGAGCTGGGGTACTCGATGCTGAGCAATGACCAACTATCGCACATCCCGATATCCAGGCTCACACACCCGAGATCCTTGGTGGCCATCTGGTGCACCAATTCAACGCTGCATCAGGTGGCCCTGGAGAAGCAGTTACTGCCCAGCTGGCACTTGAGGCTGCTTCATAGGCTCCGATGGTACAAACTCAGCACAGACCATGAATTGATTGGTCCTTGCTGGCGGATACCACCCAGAAACAGCCGTACGAAATGCTCTACTTGGCCTGTCGCTCTGATGCTCCTGAGAACTACGGGAAGGACATCCTGAAGACCGAGCTGCTTCTCAGCGTGCCTAGCATTGTGCACTCCCACAAGCCACCACTACTGGCTTGGCTTAGGGAGTACCTGCAGCTGGAGGAGAATCAGGCGGATCCAAACTGCTTAGAGCTCTTTGCCCGGTTTCTGCATCCCCACTTCACTTCAATTGGCTTGGAGGTGCTTAAATTGATGGACGAAAGACTTTATGATGTGGGTCAAGAAGATTAATTGAGATAACTAACTAATTACATTTGTAAAGTATGTATGTGTATTTAGTTATTTATAAATGTTTGTGAATTCTACTGATTTGTTTTCCAAATAAATGGTCTACTTGCATGCCGTAAATAAAAATTTAATTTAAAGAAAGCATTTATGAGTTTTAACAATTTTATTTGTGTTCTGTTAATGAGAGCAAATGCAGAAGAATTTGTGTGTAGGCGGCCCGCGGATGCGATTCCTCCTTCCAGAGAAGCCAGCAATGCCCGGCCCAAGCTAAATGTTAAACATTTGGGGTGGCGTTTGTGGGATTTTGTTTTTTTTCGTTTGTGTGTTAAATTAAGTATTAAAGGATAGTAAGCATTATTAATACACGTGGTTGATCGCAGGCTACTACTCCTGACCCTGGGCCATGGCGGCTGGGTTGGTAGGCTCATTGCCGCCGCGTTTCTTCGATCCAGAGACGATGTCATCGATGCGCAGCAGCAGAATGGCAGTCTCCACAGCGGTCTTGTACGTCTGCAGCTTGACGGCCAACGGCTCCCAGATGTTCTTCACATTCATGTCAACGATCTCGCCGGACTCGCCGTCGATTCCCCAGGCGCAGACGCCCTCGCCGGTGTGGGAGGCGTGCTTGGCGCGCAAGGCGGTTAGGGCACGAATTGTGTTGGCTCCGCAGTTCTGGGCCAGTGTTCGCGGTATGATCTCCAGGCGTGGGCCACCGCTGTGTAGGGTCCCTTGACCTGTTTGCGCGTCAGCAGCTGGGAGCGGCCATCTCCACGGCTCCGCCGCCAGCGACCAGACGCGGCTCCAACACCAAGTTCGGGCCACGTGCAGGGCATCCTGCAGGTTGCGCTCCGTCTCGTTCAGAATGTCTTTGCTGGCACCGCGCAGCAGAATGGTACAGGCCTTGGGCTCTTTGCACTCCGTGACGAAGGTGAAGTACTCATCGCCGATCTTCTTGACCTCGAACAGGCCAGCTCCCGTGCCCACATCCTTCTCGGTCAGCTCCTCAGTGCGGTTCACGATGGTGGCACCGCAGGCGCGAGCAATACGCAAATTGTCGGTCTTGCGCAGCCGGCGAATGGCCGTGATGCCAGCCTTCAGCAGGTAGTGCTGGGCGAGATCAGAGACACCCTTCTCGGTGAAGACCAGATCCGGCTTCACTGCAATGATGTCCGCGCAGATGCGCTGCACATACTCCTCCTCGATCTGCAGCATGCGGGTAAGTCCTGCTCCCCGATGATCTCCACGTTGGTCTGGCTCTCGCCCTTCTTGTACTCCAGCGAGCAGTCGAGCAGCACTATGCGGGGATTCTCGATGTAGCGGCGCATCTTGGCGTGCGTCACGTCCTTGTTGATCATCACGCCCTTCAGCACGCACGACTCCTCGATAGCACCTCCGGGAATCTTCTCAACCTTGGCATAGCTATGGGTGAAATAAAGTTACATATTGTAGTAAAATTCAAGGTTATGGAAAGCGCCATTTTAAAAAAATTAAATATGCCAAATTGTAAAACACGTTCTCTTCTCACGAAAGTACTGGTAAATAGGACTTTGTATCTTACCGCTTGATATCCACCTCCAGACGTCCGTTCTCGCTCAGAGTAACCGTTTCGACGGCGTCCAGGGCGATCTTGACGGCCAGATCTGACCACTTGCCGATGAACTTGGTGCCCACGCAGGCCTTAACCACATCGGCCATCTTGGCCTTGTCCTTGACGTCCAGCGTGATGCTCAGCTGCGACTGCAGGTGGCCGACGATGTCCTCGAGGGCCTCGCGGAAGGCGCGGATGATCACGGTGGGGTGGATCTGTTGCTGTAGGAAGGGCTCGGCAGCGGCCAGCATCTCGCCGGCCAGGACGATGACCGATGTGGTGCCGTCGCCCACCTCCTCGTCCTGTGTGCGGGCGATTTCGATCATGCTCTTCGCCGCCGGATGCTGCACGGTGATCTCGCGCAGGATGGCGTTACCGTCGTTGGTCATTACGATGCCGCCCATGGGGTCCATCAGCATCTTCAGCATGGCCTGGGGCCCCAGGCAGGTGCGGATCACATCGGCGATGGCCTGGAAAAAGGAGTTTAAGTCAGCAGATGGCCGGAAGAGCACGAGATCCCGAAAACCCAAGTACAGACATGAGTCATACCTTTCCGGCTTGGATGTTCTCCAACTGCACTTTGCGGCCCGATTCTCTCTTTGTGTTTTGACCTGCCGGCGGATAATTCGATTGCAATTGGGCTCTGCGAGGTGAAAATTTATACTCACTCAACACGAGTATTGGCTGCTGTCCACCGAACATTTTTTTGCTTATTTAAACAATTGAACTCTGAAAAATGTCTGCTGCGGTAGAAAAAAGACCACGCGGTAGAAAGGTATCGACTATAAATAGGGTTATCGCCGTAGCCGCATATCGATATTATTTTGACATGTATTTTTTTAGGTAAGTGGTCTGGGCCATTCGCGAACCACTTAAAAAGGCACCATATTGCTTTAGGCAAATAGAATCGTCAATGTTACGTGTCATTCGAATTGTATTTCCCCACGTAATATGCAGAACTCCTTTATTTAAACAATCGATGACACACTATTCGAGAAAGTTCTATAAAAAAAAATGGGCAGACCGGCTCGTTAATTACTCTGTTACGTCCTGTGGGTACTTTAGAATAGTTTTTCATTTATTTTGCAAAATTATCTTTATACTTTACGAGTTTAATTCAAATTCCTTAAAATTCGAGCCGCTCTTTTAAGTATCGATATCTTGAAACAGTGTGCTTACACTGACATCTTATCGATGTCGCGGAATTGGAGAAAACAGTGTTTTCTAAAAGTGTAAACAGCCATTTTGCTATTCTATTTTTCTTAGAAGAGAGAAAAAATTAGTCATTTTTGGTGTTGGTCTGTTAGTTAGTCAAAACCCTGATTGACGCCTTGTATTCTACACAGTACAAGGCAGCTAGAACACTGCAAAAACATCTCGCAGCCATGACTCGGCGAGAACTTAACGAACAATATTTACTTAAATGCACTTTAATAGTTTTGGCGAACTCGCTCATTCGGAGTTAAAGCTGTTTTTTCGTTCTTGCTAAGATAATTTGTAGTGTGAAGCGATTGTTACCTCGTCTGCATTTTAAACGCATTAAATAATATCGATAAATATCGATAATAAAAAAAACAGCTGTTTTCTTCTTTGTTTACGAACAATTTTGGCGTCATTCTCCTATTTAATATTATTTAGTTACTAATTTATTAACTAAAGAAAGATAAAGCCATGGACGCCAAAAAGATATCTTTTGGCTTCAGTAAATTGGCCAAGAAACCGAACATCCTTCCCAGCAAGCAGCCAAAAGAGGAAAGCAAGGTGGAACTGATAAAATGTTTGGAGGGAAACGAAATAATTTCGGTGGCGTAAGTTAAATGATTATTATTTCTTAAGGATCTTATTTTAGACCGCCATTTCCAGCGAAAAGTGGAGGCCGCCCCGCTGATCATCCGAACGATTGGCATTCAGAAGACTTCGACCGCCCTGGCTAGTTTGATGAGACGACGAGCGGTTCTGCTGGGTGAGGAGGAACCGGACCCGGAGGAGGAGACCTCAGCGGCCCAATCGATTGCGGAGGTCACCGCAGGCGGTACTACGGAAAGCCTGGAACAGCGAGCAGCTAGGGAATTACTATCCGCCAGCCAAAATAATGGTGCCGAAGGCATAGATGGTCAGAAACTGGTCCTTCCCGCCGTAAAAGCCGACGAACTACCTCTCGATGGCGCCAAGGAGGCAACACTCGATGACTATGACAATATTCCCATCCAGCAGTTTGGTCTGGCGATGCTTCGCGGCATGGGTTGGGTGGATCCGCCGCCAAAAAAGAAGGGTTCGGGGCCAATTGACGATGCTCCCTTCCTGCGACCCAAGGGAATGGGTCTGGGTGCTGATAAGGCACTCAAACCTAAAGCACTGCTAGTTCAGCCGGAGAAAAACGAAGTACTCGAGATCAAGAAGCAGGCCTACGTGCGTATCCTGGGCGGCAAGCAAAAGGATCAGTATGGCCAAATCCAAGGTTTTGACGACCATGCCGGTCGAGTTATCGTCAAAATGGCTATTGGAGGTAACAAGGAGGCGTTCAACGAGTTCCTCTGCCAACCCGTGTCCCGGAAAGAGTACTCCCAGTTTGGAAAGTGCATAAGTAAGTTGGAATTCGGAAAAATCTCTATGAAGCTAAGCAGTCGTAACGTTATTTCCTATTTTCAGACTCAGCCAAGTACGAAGAGTTTAAAAAACATGAAAATGAGCATGGCCAAATTATTGTGAAGCGGGAAAAGTCAACAGAGAGCAGGGACAGAGACCGAAAGGAGGAGGCAAGATCACATCGGACCGAACATCACGATCACAAAAGCTTTAAATCGGAGGAACAGAGATCTAGCAAAGACGAGTATCGAAGGAGATGCAAGGATGAGGAAAAAAGGTCTTATAAGGATGAAGACAAAAGGTCTTATAAGGATGCGGACAAAAGGTCTTCCAAGGATGAAGACAAAAAGTCCTACAAAGATGAAGATCGCAGGGCATATGAGGATGATAGCCGAAGAGCACACAGGTCTTACAAAGAGGAGGGCAAAGCTTTTAAGGAGGAGGATAGGGACAGAAAAAAATATGTACAAGACCCACGAAGCAGTAGCTCCTCGGCATCTAAGCGCGAGGATCGTGAGCGGCGTCGTTCGCCCAGTCCCAGCAGCACAAGTTCCTCTAAAAGTAAGCGCGACGACCGTGATCGGCGGCGGTCACAGAGTCCCAGGAGTAACAGAAGGGCGAAGAGCAGTTCAGACGAGGCAGATGATACAGGAGAGTCTACCGAAAGCGACTCGGACTCTGCATACGAGCGCAGGAAGCACAAGAAAAAGTCATCCAGTCGAAAGTCCAGAAAGCACTCAAAAAAGTCAAAAAACAAATCGAAAAGGGCGGACGACGAGTCCAGTTTGGAGAGCGATGAAAGTCTACTGAGAATCATCGTCGGCACCCCAGCAAGCACAAAAAAAAGACCAAGAAGAGCAAACACGCAAGATCCCGCACGCGGTCTAGATCTAGGGACCGGAAGTGATTCGATCTATTCAGTTGAAATCTTTATTTAAATATAGTTCAATAGACGCTTAAGTTCTTTTGTATCTTACTTGGGATTATCATAAATTTCAATTAACTCACAAAATAATCACAAAAATGTCTTGTCTTTTGTTGCGCGTTCTTTTTCTCTCTCCGTACGCCTCGCTTCGAGATTTCTTTCGGTCTTACATGTTACAAACTTATAGTAGGAGATGTGATGGGGCCAAGACCACGACGGGATTTGCTAGATTTCCGATGAAAATACTTTCAATATGCTGCTCTTATCTTTTACGATACTCATAGTTTCAAATTCAATGCTCGAGGGTGTATTTAGTGATGCGATGTGTGCATGATGGCAAGTAGATGACTTAGGCTTGTTTTATATTTTTTGGTCAAATGGTGATGAGTGTATCTGCTAGTTTGCGTTGATATTCTCTTTACTGCAGCTTCCTCTTGCCACACTGTATCTTGTCGTTAATGATCTTCGAGGCCTTCTGGGTAATGGATTTGAAGACGTCCTTATTCTGCAGCCCTGGCCACATGGCGATGAGCAGGGTGGCCAGATACATGAGCAGAAGATTGTTGATGATGGCTCCAATCCAGGCGAGAGCCAGGAGACCCAGGCTTATGATGATCACGAACTGGAAGGATACAAGTTTTAAGTGAAATAGCGATAATTGTATTACAATTCACTCACCACTGTGGACTTGCGCTCCTTGAAGAGGTATTCGTACCAGAGCACCATGTTGCTCTTGACAGCACAAACCTGACCGCAGACGTCCTCGAACTTGGCCTCCTGGTCGCCATCCCAGTTGACTCCCCCAAAGATGAGACGCGATACCGTTGGGAATATGTAGTCCAATACCAAGCTGATCAGTCCGAGGAGCGACAGCAGGGTGATCAGCGAGAGGTCCAGATACCACAGGACCAAGTACAGGACGCTGGTGGCGCCGAACACCACTCCGGCGTGATACTGCTTCTCCCAGGTGAGCACGCCGTAGGCTCCCACGATGGCCGTCCGGAAGGGCTCCAAGTCGTGCTTCAGCTTGTTGAGGGCACGTTTCTGTAGGGAAAAATGGGTATCTTAGCTCTTGGGTTTCCCGCACAATGGCGACGCCGTTTTCCGGCCGGAAAGCTTTTGCGGATATCTCCCCTTGCTCACCTGGTCAACCTGTGATGCTGCCATCTTGTCTTGGCTTTCCTTTGTCTCTATTAAGGCCGAAGTTCGATTCGATTCCCAGAAATGTAATTGAAGCCAAAGCCAAGGTGTTGCTTTCGGTTTGAGCGAAAAATCAATTTTCCTAGGCTGAGTTTTTTTTATCGTTATTCGATATTAAAGGCGTTATCTGACTATCGGTAAAGTCGCAATGTGACCGTTGATAAGTGAAACTAGGGGTGGATATATTTTTTAAACAGGACTTTTTTTTAACGAAATATTTTGTCTCAGTTATTTTTATTTATTTTGCTTTAATTTAAATTCTTGGATGTCCACCTGTTTTAAATTATTTTTGTTTTTCCTTAACTCTATTAAAATCTTTATTGTTTTAAGCATACTTTCCGAAATCAGATCTCGAAACGGAAGCGATATATATGTGAGTTTTTCTAGGTTAATCAGAACATAAGTTAATCAGGACAAATCAAACCCGTTCATTGTGTTTTGTAAGGTAATTAAGTTGATCAAAGCTGTTCTACTTTAAAGAAAAAAATGGAAAAATAGTTTTGGTGTTAGACAGCAAATTTAAATTTTTGTTGTACAAAAATTAATTATTATTTGATTGTGATTTTCCGCGCTGGAGCCTCGTATTGATTACAACTATAATTGAGCACACAGCAAAAACAGATAATAGTCGTTTAGCTATCCATATAATTGTGTAATTATGGGGGTGGTGCAATCAGGGGTCAGACAATAGATTACTCCAGTGGACCAAATTAAATTGTATGTTTGAACAATTGATTACATGCTGGCGTAATATATGGCAGAAGTTGTAATTGAAGATACCGAAGGAATTGGGGCTGATGTTAGTCGTCCTTTAAATAGAAATGTAGTATTGTCGCCTCATCAAAAAGTCTAAGCAGCTAGATTGTATAACTTTTGCTGCTTTGAAAGGCACATCCCACCATTATGAAAAGCAGTAATACTATTGAGTTCCGGGCCGTTTTTATTAAAAATAATTCAGTAGACAGAGATATAATTACAAAATATACTGAAATACAAGCGCGAGTTGTAACTAAACTAATAAAAAACCCCCCGTCTTGGTTTCCAAATGACCCCTATTATAAAGTCTACCGAATAAAAAATAAATTCAGTCATATCTTCATATATTTAATTTGAATGATAGACAAAAAGTAATCTTGTTACTGGAGATAGTCACTACATATATCTAAAATTATCGTTATGATTAAATAGATGTACGTAATGGTTAAAAGATGAATGGGAATTTTTAAGTGTTTTCCTCTTTGCAATACTGCACATCTTGTAAGCATGCCTTTTGGGTTTGGATTGTAAATTTCTTAAGGTTTTTCTTTTGTCATTTCCTTATTATTACTTCATGGTGGATTCCTTGTTGAGACCGATAGACGATTATTATAGTTTTCAAAGTATGAAATCAAATGATATTAAATGTGTGTTGCATATTCGCTTACACGATCCCTTTGTGTAATTTTATGTGGTTCACTCGCAATCGAGTAAAATGTCAAATATAAAGCATAATCAATGAGATTACGTTCTTTTATCTTTGTTTATCGTTTAATGTGGGTTCAGTGTCTAAAAGCGTCGGCGTCCCCACAGGGCATTGTTTCCGCCGACATTGTTGCCGCGATTTCCGCCAGCACCGAATTCAAAAGCCTCTAGCTTATCCTGTCCTCCGGGACCAGAGTTGTTTCCAACCATGGTGGAATTGTTGCTGTTGTTGTTTCTAAAAACTTCAAATGGTGATTCACCCCCAAAGTTGTCAAAGCCGGAGTTGCTGCCGCCGCCTCCGAATCCCTCTTGCAGATCGAGCATCGAGTTGAGCTGCTGGGCCTGCTTCAGCAATGCGCTCTCCTGCTGACGGATGCGCATGTCCTCCTCCTGCCGAAGCATGTGGCTCTGCACCTCGCCCTGGTAACGACGCATGGTCTCCTCCTCGCGTTTTCGCATTTCCTCGGCCTGCTTCTCGCGCATCTCCCACTCCAGTTTCTTGCGCTCGTTGTCCACCTCGCGTTTCCTCAACTCCTGGCGCAGCAATTCTGTCTCTTGCTCATAGCGAGCGTACTCCATCTGGGCTTCCAGCTTGTCCTCCTCCATTTTCAGCTCACGCTTAAGGGCGTCCTGCTTGCTCTTGAACAGGCCGTGCAGCTGCTTCCATCGCGATCCGTACTCGTGCTCAAACGAGTTCGTGTCGGCGAACCGCGGTCCGACGCTACGTTCTGGCAAAAGTCGGGCATCTTTTTGTTCAACGCCTTCTCCGGCAGCCCGTCGTTGTCGTCGTTCACCTCCATCGGCTCCACCAGACACGGCCGCAGCGAGGACGTCAGGAAAAAGCACTTCTCATTGCACAGACGCAGACATGCACTGGCCGAGGACTTCTTGGCGAACTCCACTATGCCCTCGCCGGTATGCTTGCCACGGTCGTCCACGGTGATGCTGGCGCGCTCAATGGGTCCGAAGATCTCGAAGGACTGGTAAAGCAGCTCGTTGGACACAAACTGGTTGAGATTGCTCACCCGCAGAATGGTGGCGTTGGGCGCAAACGGACGCGCAGCTGGCGCCCCTTGCGCATGGAGCCATCCAAAGCGCGCTTGGCCTTCTCGGCATTTGGATGGTAGTCGACCTTCAGGAATGTAAATTCTTGTCCAGGTTCGAGAAGATCTCGGTGATCTCGCCGTACGGCTTGAACATTTCGCGCAGCTCCTCATCGGTGATGTCGCCGGTCAGATTGCCCACATACAGACGGTTGCGACCAGAGAACTTGGTCTCGGTGGGCACTTCAATGGGCGGCAGTTCGAGGGTGGGTCCGCCATGCTGCGCAGACGCTGGGCAATGAAGAAATCTTCGCCGCGTTGGCCGCCGCCGCCCATGGTATTGTTCATGCCTCCTGGTCCTCCAGACCGATTTCCACGGTTACCACGCGGCTGTTGGTTTCCACCTCCACCGCCGCCGCCGATCGTTTGATTGAGGCCACCGCCGCGTCCACGGAAGCCCTGTCCTCCCTGGTTATTTCCTTGATTTCCTCCCTGGTTGCCGCCTTGGTTTCCTCCCTGACCGCCACCTTGATTTCCCTGGCCTTGTCCTTGGCTGGCATTTGATAGGGCTGGTTTTGCCCACCGCTACCGCCGCGTCCTCTGAAGCCCTGGCCTCCTTGGTTACCTTGACCTCCTTGATCTCCCTGATTTCCTTGGTTGGCATTTTGGTTTTGGCCACCTCCTCCGCCGCGTCCTCTGAATCCCTGGCCTCCTTGGTTGCCCTGTGCTCCTTGGTTGCCCTGTCCTCCTTGGTTTCCCTGGCCTCCTTGGTTACCTAGACCTCCTTGATCTCCCTGATTTCCTTGGTTGGCATTTTGGTTTTGGCCACCTCCGCCACCGCGTCCTCTGAAGCCCTGCCCTTGTCCTTGTCCTCCCTGGTTACCTTGGATTCCTTGGGCTCCTTGATTGTCCTGACCCTGGCTGGCGTTCTGGCTAGGCTGAACTGGAGTGGCGGCTGCGGGTTCATTGTTCTTTGCGGGCACATTGGCCGCAGCCGGCTTCGGCGATTCGTTCGGCTGCTTCTGATTAGCATTATTTGCACCCTGGAAACCCTGGCGGTTTTGATTTTGGTGGCCTCCACGATTGCCGCGGTTGCCGGTGAATCCGCCGCGGCCTCCGGCACCACCACCACCTCCGGCTACTCCACCTCCACCCCATTCTGGGTGTTCGGCCCAAATCGTGGTTTTTTTTCAGCAGGATTACCGTCGCTTGCGGCGTTTTGCTTCGGGGCAGTGTGCTTGCCGAGATTCTTATTGGCTAGATTGCCCCTCTGCTGGCGCTGCGGCAACGGCGTGGCGTTATTAGAGTTATTGAGTTTAACCGCACCCTCCATTGCACAAAAAAAAATCCCTTTTTTCAGATAAAAAATGCTCTATGCCGAAAAACACCGATGGAAGTGTTGCCAGGTGGAAAAAGTGGTGGAAAGTAGAGATGGAACTACATCGATTAGCCGATACTATCGATGCTTGCAATATTGCAGTATCGATGTTGGCTCTTAAGCATCGATAATTTCACTAATGGCAACTGTTTCAGTTAAATTATAAACTAACATATTTCTAAAAATTAATTTTTAAGTATAACACTTTGCTTAAACTCTAAAAATGTTCTGGCCTGGCAACACCACCAGTGGGCCCGACTGTTGCAAAAATAACTTTGTCAAAGTAGCGTCAATGGTTCACGTCAATATTGGAACAATGGAGCTATAAATAGAGTAACTGAGCCCTGATTTTTAGCCGCTTGCACAAATATAAATATACTTTATATTTAAATTTAAAACCATGATTAAATATTACAAACCTTATTTTTTTTTGAAATCATAAACATATCGTGTTTCACATTTCACAATTTTGTATTCAAACTTCACATAATTTTGCCGCCATTAACAAATAATCCCCAAATTCAAAAATAAGTTTTGTATAGGGTCAATACCTTTTGCACCAAAAAACAAATACCTTGATTTATTTATAGTTAGTTTTAAAGTTTTATTATTCGCTCAAGCTTGCTGAAGATTCTCGGTTGACATTCGGTTTTCTAGTACATGTATTAATTAGTTTAACTAATGCTAAATATAATCTTGCTGTCCATTTACGAGTAATTGAAATATGGATTCGGTTTATTTGTAAAAAGCGCTTGTCGTAAAATAAAATGGAATAATATTCTTTTGCACTGCAGTTTTCCATAGTTTGCTTGATTCGCATATTGTATATAGATTTATTCAGATATTCCCGTGTCTAACGCTTGCTTCGAAACACAATGGCTAAATATACATCAAATATATGTGATTTAATTTCCTTTTTTGAGATTCTTGAGTTTTACAGTAAATAAACTACATATACGTTATATTATTCTGACAATTAAATATATGAAAAATATGCATTTCTCGATTTGTTTGGTGTATTTTGGTGTAAATAGCGTGTGGCGCAATATCATTTGTAGTTTTACTTGTATGTTGGGGTGTACCTCCGTATTGTATATATATATCTGGATATCTTTCGAAGCGGAACGTATGGTTGGGGCACAAGTATGTTTCGAGTAAATTTGTATAAAGGTTAAGGTAATGCGTTTATCTTTAGTAAGGCACTAGTTACACGTTAAGACGCCGCTTAACGTGTAACTACTGACACTGACTACGACACAAATTGCGATTGCAATGCGGTTCTCCCTCCTCTAAATTCTCCGATCCGCGCTCTTCCAGCGATTCTTTAAAGCTTACGTGTACATTTCATTAGCGTATTCATTTCTACATTTTCAATTTTCAATTTTGAATTTTCAAATATTCGATTTCTTATTCATTTCATACATTTTCACTTAGCTGCTACGGCACTACACTGCGCCAAACAAAACTAAACCACCTACTAAAGATAAGACTGCCGGAAAGGTCCGATCGGATCGGGAATTAGCAACTACGTGAAGCGACAGCCACAACTGGGTTTTCGTATTCGTTTTCGATTTCGACTGAGTTCCTAGTGGGTGGTGGTGAGAGTTAGACAGTGTGTACTGGTAGGCTGATAGTAATTCTTTTGGGGATAGTACATTTCTGTGTTTTACGCATTTGGGTTGGTTACGCTAGTTACAATTTCTAACCTATAAGTACATAGCATTAGGGGGAGAGACAGAGAGAAATAGAAAGAGAGTTGGTATATAGTTAGCGATTGGGTTGTTCTAAGTCGGACTAAAAACTAGTTTTAAACTACATACAAAGTTTAAAATGCAACTGCTCGGGCGAGGGAGAATTTAGTTCGATTTAGTTCTCTTCTTGTTTATCTGGCTTTTGTTTTTGGTTGTATGCAAGTTAAAATCGGTATCAAAATCCATTCAATGATGACATGTAGTTGTGTCCCGTGGTGAGTGATTTAGATTACAGGGATTGTTTGTATGTATGTTGTATAGTTTCTGTAGTTGGCAGCAGTTTTGAAACTTGTTTAACATTGGACTAACCTAGTTGCAGTGGCTACTCTCGCTCCAAGTGGCTGGTGTGTGTGGGCGTATGTGTCTATCTGGGGGATTCACATGCATAGCGGGCTAATAACTAAGTGCAGGGATGGTTTCTCATATAATGCTTTCTTGCACATTTCTTGCCCGACTTTGATATAGTTCTGAGTTCTGAGCTTACAGGGGTCACTCGATTGCGTTCGAGGCAAGAATGCTGGCGGGCTTAGTAGTTAGGTTCAAATGAAAAACTTTCAGTTTATTATAAAATTTCACACTTTTCAAATCTTACAAGGACTTCGTTTCGTTACATGTTCGTATGTATTTATGGATAGGGACTGTGGGAATGTGTGGGCGTTCGAGTATGAGTATGTGTGATGCGCTTATTGCTTATGCTTCTGCTTTGACATGTACAATGAGATTCGCATTCTACTTAAGATAACTCATTTCGTAAATCATAAATTAGAACATTAACTAAAACAAGCAATTCACAAAAAATATACACTTAAAATCATAAACACAATCGGATGTTCCATGGTACGATACCAATGTCAATGTGGGTCTAAACTTAAAACATAGCGAGCTGATGAACGTAAGCTACCAGTATAGGTCGAACATAAAATTAAAATGTTTTACAGAGACTTTCATATTTCATATTATACATAAGGCCGTTGAGGGGGAATCGAGTTTAATACTTAAAAGTAAGGGCTTCATTTTCGTCGTCCTAATCTTTCTTGCCAGCTTTCTTTTTGGGGGAAAAGCTGTGATAAAGCAAATTCAGCAGGCAGTTTTCTGCATGCGTGTCTTCTGTGTTTTTTTTTTTGGGTTGTGTGTATGTATGGATGGCATGGGCGTGGGCGTGGCAGGTTGGAATGATGATCGTTCCTTGTGACGCATATATTACAGATACAGTTTTGGTTGCTTGTGGTTTTTGATCGGTATCAACAAACTAGTGCTGATTATTTACATCCATGTGGATGTCACATTAGTTTGATACTGAGTGTTGTTGATTCTTGTTCTGTAGACGACTGTTGTTGTTGTGTTTGATTTGCATTTGCTTTGGATTGGATTGATTTTTACATATCGGATGCGTTTAGTTCAAGAACTTTGCTACTGTTATCATTATGAGGTTGGCCAAGATGATGCAAATGCTTGATTCTGGCAAATAACTACCTCCGGCCACGACCACATCCTTCTCCTCCAGGAGCGGATAGTCGATGACGTGGATAATTCCGTTGGTGCACTCCACATCTGGCCGGTATACGTTGATCTTCTTGTAGTTCCAGATGATCACATAGCCTGCAAAAGGAAGTAGTCGTTGTTAAAGTGGGTCGGAGAAATGGACATGTTTTATGCACTCGATGGGTGGCTAATGCTAGTGGATTGCCCAATGAGTGAGCTATGGGTGGGCACGGCCAGGTTAGGGGGTTTTGTGGGCGGTGCGATGTGGGTTTGACAAACGACAGCACTCACCAGTCCATTCGTGACTAGCATACTCATCATGGAGATCTTTCGATTGGACAACGATTAGATTTAGTTATTAAGCAGAAAGCGAGAAATTTAGTTCGAGAGTTGTAGAAAAACAGGTTCGGTTAGTAATGCAGCACGGTAGGGGAGGACCAATAGAATCAAATCAAATTTATATGAATCGAATTGACTTGAATTGAAAGGAGAAGCAGCTGAGCCCTTGGCTTCCCAAGCGAAATACTTACGTCCAGCCTCCTCCTCCACTCGGATGCTCAAGGAGTCGCGGAACGTGGGTAGGACAACGCTTCCCGATTCCTGCGAGAACTTGACCAGATCCTTCATGGTGTACTCCTTATCCGAAATGGCCAAATGACGCTCCAGGATGGACTTAGACTGTGATTACAATAAAATATATGAGTATTGAAAGAGGACACAGAATGGCAGGACTACAAAACTTACATGATAGGCAAAATCTTGCATGAAGAGTTCTTGTGAGCCGATGGGTAGTCCAGCTCAGTCTTCTGCCAGCCCTTGTCCCTGGGCACAAAATAGGTGAAGCGGCGTTGTGTGTTGTTAGCTGGTCGTTGAAGTGCGAGAACTTTCCCATCTTATAGGTGTCGCTGCGGAATACGGTGAGATTTAAACATAGTTTTATTAAAGCTTTAAATCTATCCTACCTCATCATGGGATCGGACTCAAGTTTGCCAAGAACTGTTGTGTAAGGCACGCCCAGGACGTGGTCGATAATGTGGACAAAGCCATTGGTCTGGGCCACATCAGCCTGGACAACGGTGGCATTAACGCCGCCTCCCTCAACTGTGATCACGGTATCCGATCCCTCACCACGGACATTGAAGTACAGGAAGGTGTTGTTGTTGACAGTGGGTACTTGAGCAATCTGGAGACCAATGGGTTTTATTAAAATCAAACCAAAAATCTATGTAAAATATACCCATACCAAATTAGCATTCTTCTGCCTGATCTTATCCACATTCAAGCGGTCCTTGATGATGTGCATGTTCAAGATTTGCCTCATCTTGTTGCGGTCTCTGCAAGGTCCATTATTTGTCACTTTAACGGGATACATATTTTTGAATAATATAAAATCTTACCGCAGAACATTATTGATATTGGAAGAGTTCCAAGCTTCATTGCTGGGGGCCAAAATGGTCACTTCCGACAAACTGTTAATGTCGTCCAAAACGGCTCCTCCATTGTCCATGATAACTTCGTAGAACTTTCGCAGAGCTCCGTTCTCAGCATTTTCCTTTAAAATACAGTACACAATTAATAAGGGGGTTCATAATATAAAAATAAGTTGGCTTAAAGAAAAATGTATCTAAATAAAATATTAAATGAGGGGAGGGTACGCATAAGCATTTAAGGTTTTTGGTGTTCTTTTGGACACGTAAAAACAATTACGAAAACAATACAACAATAAGACAAAAGTCCGATTATATTATAAACCAATTATACACGTATTGGTAGGGGTATGGGTGGCTGGCCAATTGAGTCGTGAATCAATGGGGATGTCAAATGACTCCACATCGTAATGTATGAGATTTTATGGTAACAAAATCTATAAATTCATTGAGTTAATAGTGCGGTGGTTGGGTTGGATGGCAATTTGATAGCGAAGCGTTGCACTGATGACTGTTGTGGTTTTGGTTCTTGTTCTGCTGGTGTGTTATTTACTTACGTTCATGAACTAAATCATTTTTTTAAAACGGTGTGGTAGAAGAAATATTTCGTTTTTTATTCGATGTGATTTAGTCAAGATAGGGTTCGAAAAAATTGAATTGAAACATTAAAATATTAATTTATTTGGGATATGGGTTCCACGCAGATTGCCCGAGAAGTTCCGCCACAGAAATTTGAAATAAAGCACAAGGGAAATATATTTAATTTTCGTTGTTCTTAGACATTTTGAAGTGAGCAGGCTTATGGTTTCATTTATTTACATTATTATTTAACGGCGTGCACTTGTCAATATTTTAAAGCGAAAAAACCGTTTTATTGCTATTATCCAATATATTTACAATTATTACATAAAAGAAAAAGCGGTAAGACAAAGAATCTGACGCAAAATAAAAGGTAATAAGTTAGAAATAAAATTTAAAAATGGATAATCAAATTAATTTTAAATATTTCGCTTTAAAGTAATCTTTCAACTAACACTCTTTAATATCTTTTAAAGCATCGTGTGCATTTTTTCAATTTCAATAGAAATAGTGTTACTCAACTAAACTAGTGCTGTAATATCATATACATTTTGTGGATTTGCTCATCAAGGTCTGAACCTTCCCGACTTACATCCACTTAATAAACTTTACACTCTTGGACGAAAATCATGCATTGGGAGAATATATAGCAGGGGATGCAACACAAAATGCAACTTTAAAGAAATTAATAAGCTTAATTAAAAATCGGATTTTTTTCTGTTTACCTTGAACGACTGAATGCGTTAACATATTGGTTTTTGTTTCAATTTGTCGGTGCATCGATTCAATTTTAGAGCGATATGTGGTTGGGTTGGGTTGTGTTGTAGTTTTAGATACAATTATTCGGCATGTGGCGAGAAACAAAGGATAGAGGTATGGATCAGTAAGTAGCCAAAGGAGCGTATCACAAGTAATTACAACAGAACTAGATTGGAAATTTCGAAAACGATAGCACGATATGGAGGCGCTGACGATTCGAGCGGTCGAATGATATTGCCACTCTACAATCCGTTTCACAACCACAAGACTAACTACTTGAGAACTACATTACTGGACTCGTAACGTCATAAGATATACTTCTTTGTATTATGTCTAATAGTTGCGAAACGCACTGTATATAATGTATATGCCTATGAAGGAGCTATTTATCGAGCGGGGTGGTGTTTTCGGATTAGGCTTATAAGAAACATATACAGCTACGGTTACGATTATGATCAAAGCATGCCTGCTGATAGCGAGCGAACGGTGATTGACCATTGATATGCACAGCGATTGAGGGTTCGAAGAGCGTAGCCAATCATGATAAAGATTAATTTATAAATGTTCTTTTGAGGCTATTAAGTTGCCAATACATTCAATACAGAACAATGGGGTTTTTTGTGAATGAAGTTTTTGTCGATTTCGGTCAGATCGAGCAAGGCGCATTTTCAGCAATTTTTTTTTAGTGTTTGCCAATTGGTGATAAAATCACGTATCGAATTTCGAGGGCCAATTTCGAGCACCTTGCCCAACTGAGTCAGTCTATTGCACTTTTCAACGCAATAACTGCCAGTGAAATGCATTTGATACGGAAATCTGATTCATAGAAAAATTTACATGAAATACATTACGTTTATATAATTTTTTTTTGGTTTTTCAGTTTTTGGCAATACTTACATTACACCCAAAATTTTTTTAAAATAAAATTTATATTTTAAAAATTATTTTAAAATAAAATTTTGCTATTGATTTTACATAGACCCGAATTGGTATACTGAGTTTTGAGCAATTCCTTTGTTAGTGGAAACTTGCGCCAAATTTGGGCTAAAATTCAGTTCTAGATAAAATCAGTCTTTTGGGTTTTCATTTGTATTAATAAGATGTATCTAGGGGATAATTAGATCTAGTGTCTGCATTGATCTATTCTATTCTGTATGTGTTAAAGCTGTGGTTTCTGGGTGCCATTTTATTTGGTTTGGCTTTGCCCCCAGTTGAGCTGCGAGAAAACTTAGCCTTAGGATTTCTCCCTGTGGCGACATATCTTTTTTTTCCAGGAGCTGCTCAATTAAGGTCAAAGAAAAGCCGAGTGTTTGATGTCTGTGTTTGAATGTGTCAAGCTCATGTATTGTAGCATTCGCTGGGGCAGCTGGCAAGCGATTTAATTGGTTTCCCAGTCTCCTCGGTCGGAACTGCCGCCAGCGCTATCTTTCAGTGCGTGCCGAGCCAATCAAAATGCCAAGCCTTATCACAAGCCGCAGGCACTATCATTGTTTCTGGTTGTCGGTGTCTTGGACTGTCTGTGTCTGTGTCGTGTCGGTGTGGCTACAATTGCCCTGGATGGTTTCCCCAACACCCCACATACCTGCAAAAATTGGGTGACCGTCGTATCGATAATCATCAGCGGTCGGTGGATCAGATGGACCACTCCGTTGCTCACTGGGATATTGGCCTTGACAATCTCGGCCAGAACCACTCCCTCGCGGTGCTTGGCATCGCCCACAATGGTGTTGGACTTTACGTACACTGCAACGGGGTATATAATTGCAATACATAAATAATTTGGCCGTACAAACGAATAAATCGGATTATATGACAGATTTATAATAAATAGTTATAAAACTTAATATAGACATAGATTACTCACTTTTGCCGTTCTTCTGTTTGAAGAAACTGACGGTGACCTTAAGCAAGTCCTCAAAGGCGGCGGAAGTCTTGGGATCGTCGTGCTGGGCAGCGGCAGTGAAGATGACAGTGTTGGGTATCACATGGCCATCGATGACCTTGGCGTCCACCAGGCTGCTGCGAGCCGTTAGCTAAGTCATAAAGGGTTTGTTAAACAAAGCCAACAAGTATAATTAAAATAGAGCCAACCTTGAAGCCCTCATCAACGGGAACCAGGAAGGTGTGCTGGCCAGCGGCATCATAGACCGACTCCTTCTTGGCCATCGTCACCTGAGTGCGGTACGTGCGCACACCAATGTTGTCCACATTGAACTCCTCGGCCTTCTGCAGGAACTTGAGAGCATTCGGGTTGCTGGGGGTGTCCGAATGGCCAGCCTTGACGGTGAGCGGCTCCAGCACCTCGTCGATGATGTGCATGATCTGTGGGTGTGTGGATAAGAGAGGGAGTTTAATTTGTTGGAATTTAACATGTGTATATGAGGCCACTGACCTGCCGCTTGCCATCGTTGTTCGTCTCCACACTGAGCGAGGGTATGATCCGGGCATTGTTCACAAAGATGTCGCCATTCGAGTTCTTTGTGATGTACAGCGGCGGATTGCCGGCCATGTCCGATGACACGGTATTCGGCAGTCGTTTCTGGGTGTACGCCTCAGTGGCTGCAATGGATAGTCAGAGGGTGGAGTCATTTTATTTTTTGATGTTTTATTATTTTTAATCAGCCTGATTGAAACTGGGACTCACTAATGTGATAGAGCACATGGGCGGTTTTGCTCTTGTAGCGCTGGAAGGCTTCATTGGTGGGCACAAAGATCGTGCAACTACGCAGCGAAAGCGTCGAGTTGGCAATTTGATTGCTCTCCAGCAGGCTGTAGAACTGAAAAGATATATAGACGGGTTCGTTACACTCATTCGCGTCGCTCTATTGCCAATATCTTATCGAACCGAGTGGGGGAAGGGGGGAGTAAGTGGGTGGTGGTTCTCGGGCGGAGTGGGTGCTTTTTGGGGTGGTTCGCAGACGGTTGCTGGGCGGTTTTGGCAAAACGGCAACCGGCCAGCACCATGGCAACGTCTAACAAACTAATAAAATGAGGAACAACATTATGCATGTGTCCTGGTTGGGATGGTAGGGCGGCGTACCAGAAAAAAGGTTTATTGAACCAATTACGTAAGCCTCTAGGGGTGGGTTACGCTGCCACCCAAGTGGATTGTGTGTCACTCGATTCCAGAGCGGGATGTGAAAATGCATTTTCCAGCCACAGCCACCCCAAAAAGGCAGCCACTGACCCTAAACCAGGCCCTCCAGAGTCAGTTGCTCGAGCGGGCCGCTGCCACCTGCCCCTGCCACATGAGGCCACATGCAACCGCACACTCTGCGGCTTCCCGGCGGAGAACCACTGGCCGCCACGCCCCGCTGCACATTCCCAGTCGGCTTTATGAGGTCCTGCGGATATATCTGTGTGTGTCTCCCAGTGTGCCTGTGTGGGTGCGTGTCCTGCCGAGGACAACACCTTTTTCCGTGCCCTCCTTTAAAACGGTCGTGTGACTCTCGTGTTTTCGTTGCTGCCCAGCATGAGTCATGGCAATTTGGCTTTAAAGGTCCGTCCTTTCCCTTTTCCATTCTTGTTCCCATTTCCCCTGCCTGCTGCACATATCTATGCTCTGGCATCGCCAACACACACGCATGTACACCGAGAAAGTTAGGGATATCTATAACTATATTTCGGAATAAGCAGATCAATTGTGTCTAGTGTATTCAAGTTCTTAAAATCTTTTAAAATTTACTAACTTCTTAATTCTAAGGATTGAACACCATTCTTCCAACACAACCTTGACTCACGATTATATATATTTTCCTAGCCCACTACAATTCACTTCAATAAATTCTTAAACAGTGCAAATAAGATATTTTCCCACAGTGTAAATACTTTTTATTCTTGCTCTCCATTCATTTTCTTTTTTGGTAATTCGAGACCGTCAGTTGTCGGAGCCGTTAGCGGTGTTGTTGTCCTGGTCGTGGACATTCGAGTCGCCGCTGGCTTTGTTCTTGGCCCGTCTCCGGTTTTTGGCCAGAATGCTTGGCCGGTTTCTATTTCGCTCTCAAAATGTTTTTGCTTATCTGCCAGGAGAGTGCCCTACTGTTAAGTGGGGTCTCAGGGACTGACTGTGGCATATGTCACAGGTTGATATGGGATATGGGATACCTTCAGGTACAATGGCCCATAGATTCGAGAGAAGTTTTAGTGAATAGAGATATTGTTTGCCCGAAAACTGTGACACTTTCACTGGGCGGCCATTTTGTACTGCCCATCTGTCAGCATCCTTACCAATTTCAACCCCCTTGGGATCTGGCTAGAAGCCTTTGACAATTAGATGCAATTACTTTCATAAATTTCCGTTATCGAATGTTTTGCATTTGATGAAAGACGAGAGAACAGGGCGGAAGGGAACTGAACCCATCCTAATGAGTTTCCGGCTCTTTTGGCACATCATCGCGATAAGGCGACGAGCTCTTCCCCGGGGAGTCTTTTTCGGAAGCCCTCGATTTTAATGCAATTGTTAGAGTATTATCCTGTCATCGATAAACAGTTTCCCTTTTCGGGCTGGGGCGTCTCATTTACTATGCAAACATCATTCTCCACCGCCAAAAATTGCTCCCAAGGGGGAGGGTTGTTGAAAAGCGCATTTTGATTTTCCCGAGTGCCAAGCCAATGACCCTGGGGCCACAGACGCACCCCGAAAATCAAGGGTACGAGTCAGACGGCGGGGCAAACAATAATTTGGCCAATGGCCCTATGAATACTGCTTAACTAAATTAAGTCCAAAAAACATGTGAATTGTACATAGATGATGTCTTTTGTTTGCGGTCCAATTTTACAATAGCTTAATTGTGTGTTCGTGTTGTTTCTGTTTGGTTTTTGGAATTGCAGCTTACCCTAACATACCTCCTCAAGGATTCGACAAAGCTCTGAAAGAGATAGAGAGAGAGAAAGAAAGAAAGAGAGAGACAGAGAACCGCTGGCAGTTCAAACTTGTTTTGTTTTTCTTTCGATTTGTAGCCAAAAAATTGTACTAATTCCTATACCAAAAATTCTACGAAAAGGAGAGGGGCGCGGCACTTGAGGAAATTGAATTTCCACCATCTAATGGAGCCATTAAAACTAATTAGCCAAAAGAGCGAGAGCCAAGCTTCGTATTTCGGAGTAGGGACAGAAATCGGAGCAGGAGCAGGGGGCTGAGGGATGTTGGTTTCCTTCTGGGCGAGTGCATGTTGTATAAATAAATTTAATTGGTACAAATTATGTATGCATATGTCGGTTGTTGTACAGTACTATATATTTTCTTTTTGATAATTGCAGCGGCAGCAGAAACAGAAAACACAAGCGAAAGCGATCTCAACCCCCGCCGACTTGGGAATTGGAATTGAGATTCGGGCAGCACAGCATTTCTCTTTTAATTGGCAGGGCAGTTGGAAAGGGGGATCAAAAGGGGGGTTCTACGAGCGGCATCACTCCGAGGCCATTCCGCCCCCACGCCACGGATCATAAATGCACATATGTATGTACATAGCTCAGAGATCCGTCTATGAGCATCTGGATCCATTAAGGTCAGTCGTGGCTCATTCATCGCCTGCTCGCCTGTAATGGAGCTCGTCGCATATCAAATAACGCGCCTTGGCATCGCATTGAATTCTTAAATTAAATTTAATTGAATTCGATGATGCTGCGAGTGAGAGTGTGGACTGGTCGGCACCGTGAGTGTTCCTAGACAGAGTTCAGCCAGCAGTTGACAACCGAGCTCGGGTCCACACCCCCACTCGGCCAACTGCAATTGCATCAGTCAAAGGTTAAAAATTAAAATTAATAAAACGCACAAGACGTTGACGCACGACAGGAAGTGGGGGTCAATCGCAGGAGGTCATTTCTCATTTCTCGGACCCGCACATGGTCAGCAATGTTTTTTTTTTATACACGCATGCCTGAACAATGTGTGTATGTAAATTAATTTCGGCTGAAATTTCACTTAGGAATTTAAAGAGAAAAAAACACAGCTCTGCTTATCTCAATTAGTTTCCCCCAGTGCGATATTTATAGTCTGAGTCAGTAGTACTGGGATTAGCACGGAATGCGATATGCCATATCAGCTCATTTAAAACTCTCTCTCCTGATCTCGGTAATTTGCCAAGCAAAACCACAGTCCGTAAGCCGCAAACCAAGACACAGCCAACCTACATTTATCTTAACCATCAGCATGTAATGAGAAGTGCAGGCAAATGAGAAAAGAAGTCTAGGCTTGACTTTGGTGGAACTAGATAAAATACCCTTCCAAACAAAATTTGTCCGGATTTTAATCCGATTAAGGTTATGAAAAGAAAAATATAGTTATCAAAAAGATTAATTACTTATCTTGTGAGTTACTCAAGACATGAGTCTGGAAATGCGATTGCCAAGAGTTGACTTTAATCCTTCAGTTTTACGGCATTCAATTTACATAAGCGACTAAAGATTACTTTCCGCCCCTACGTTTTTATGACGACCAAGTGGACCCACCCTCATATTCATACAGTACTGAAAATGCGGCCGGAAATGTTTTTTTCTGAATGTGGCAAACTTCTGGGCGAAGTTACAATACCCTAAAGCAAGGGTGCAAATGAGCAAGCCGAATCCCCCTTCTCATTTTTATTTTTCGCTGTACGCTCTGTTTGGTCTATAGCGACTTCAAAAGGTTGTGCTTTCTGTGTGGATGCAACTACTTCCCTGAGACCCGGGTTCAGAGACACCTTCAGCAACAATTACAGTCGTCTATCTCGCTCTATTGTCGCACGCTTTCTTTTTACTTGGAACTTCATTTAATTTTTTACTCAGCACGTATTTGGGAGTTAAGCGCTAAGCAGACTAGAAAATTAGGCAGGGGCTTAGATTAGTTTTTCCAAAAGGGTTCCAAACTAATCACTCTACTTTAAGAATCTATAAATAATATAGTTAATCTACTGTTTATCATTAATTTGTATTTAAAAAGACAACATTTTAAGGCCTACTTTATAAATATAAGCAATTCTAGAATAAAGATTTTTTTTCTGGTGTAAAATTATTATCCCTTCTGCTAGCTAAGCCCCCGCCCCTGGGCTCATTACACATGTTGTTCTTGTTATTTCAGCCGCGTACCTTTGTTGGCTTCTGACTTTTTTACACTTTAATGTGTTTTTCTATGTGCTCTGTGTGTGAGTTGGCCTGTGAAGGTGTAAAAAGGCAAAACTAGATATAAAACTGTTATGCTCAGTGGACGTCAACGGCCGGCGTTTTTTTTTTGGTTTTGTGGGTAGAGCCCAGTCTGTTGACTTGTGCTTAATTTATGCGGCTTTTCATTTTTACATAACATACTCTGCCATGCATACGAAATGCTGCCAAGTGGAGTTAAGCGCTTGGCTGAACTTTCCACCAGGGATTTCGGATTTCAGGTAGCATCATCGATTTTCCGCAGCCCCAACAACAAGTGAGATGGCTAAAGGTCAAGGACGATGCTGCCGGGATATAGCTATAGCTACCTGTGCCCAAATGCGGGTGCCTAAGCCATCTGTCCGTCCCTCTTGCGCAGGCTCCTTTCCGCCTCGCCCCGTCTCCCTCACACACTCTGTCAAGGCTTTTCCTTTCAAGGCCATCGAAATGTGGCGACTCTGCTCGGGGGATGGCACAATTATAGCCGAACTTTGACAAATTGGGTCTATGTGTTGTCACGGTAAGCACTTTAGTGGTAATAATTTGTAGGTCTAACAAAAATTGCTCAGATGGTCCCCAATTCTAATTAAAAAAAACCTTTCTTATTTGAAAAATGGTGAACCATTTGACTATTTGGACAAACTTTTAGAAAACAATTGAAACGAAATTTCAAAAAAATTCTAGCGCATATACGGTTTAGTAGCCTTTTTTCACTTAATATTTAATTGTAATCTGCTTAAATAAACAAAAACTAACAGTTTTATATTAATAGAAAAAATGATATATCACAAAGATTCGAGTAGCTTCGTAATTCTTTAAAAGAGTGGTATAGGCTGAAAAAAGTCTCTCGTAAACTTTTAAATCTTTTTTAGATATTGAAGTGCATACACACAATTTGATAATCCTTACACAAGATAGATTTTTTTTTACCGAAGTAAGTTTCCATTGGAAAGAAACAATATTCTAACAACTGAATGTTACATGATACAGTCGCTTTATTTATAAAGGGGTTACTAAAAATTCATCGTAGGCAGGGCCGACTGTACCCAAGGTGAGCGGGGGGCGGTGGGTTGTGCTTGGGGGCTTACTCGCCTACAAGTGTTTCGGTATTGTTTTTGGCATTACTTGCACCAACTGTTTCTGCTGCTACTGCTTTCTTCTTCTTCTTCACCTTGTTCTAGCACCTCTTTCTCCTCCTCCTCCACTTCATCTCCTCGTTCTTGTTCTTCTTCTTCTGACTCACCTGAGAGAGTTCCGAGTCATCGCGCAATTTGTCCGCCAAATCGGCGGCGGCGGCTGCGTTCGCGGCGCAGAGCAGCGCCAAAAGCAGCGCTGCGGCGTTCAGCATTTTAGCAACAACAACAACAACAGCACTTGATTATGGGGCTCTGCTGGCAGTGTACGTACGTGTGTGTGTGTTGTATTTTGGGGGGCGGGGCGTGTGCGAGTGTGAGTGCGCTGCTCTACGATTAAGATCTGCAATTCAAAGGCAAACAACAGTTAGCCGACAAGCAAACAGTATATTCCTCTTCCTCGAAAAGAAAATATTAATTCACAGATATCATTTTTTGCAAAGCTGGGCTTTTGCCTTTTTCTCGCTCTTTGTTTTTGCAAGGTTTTTTGCGCTTCCTGTTATTGTTCTGTTCTGTTCTGCTTTTTTCTTCTTGCCTTGCAGCAGAGCAGGTCGAATACCGTTATGTCACATATAGAGAACGACAAGCGAAAAACGGACCACCGAGGAATCGGCAAGCACAACACAGATGCAAACAGCTAGAAACAAAGCTGCGCTTATCGTGTATTATTTTTTCTCAATTCCGCTGTGTGTTTAATTATTATGCGCATTCCCATTCCGCTGCTGCGGCACTTTTTCTTATTATAGTATCTTCATGCAGCTTTTTTTGTGGTCTTTATTCTGCGTAATTCTTGGAAAGTCGGGCTGCGGGAATCGAACGAACGCCACACAAATTATGCAATGCACGGTCGAAGAAAGCATATACTTTAAATAGCACACAAACGAACGCAGCGCGGGGGCAAATGGTAAATCAATAACAAGAACAGCGAAACGGCTTGCACCTAATTCAGAGTTATATCGTATGCACAGTATAGATTTTTCACTTTTCAAAGGGGGGAGCCAGTACCAGTCGGAGGAACCGCAACGTGCGCCACGCTCGAACGTTTTTTTCGAATTGAAATTTCAATTTGAAACGAACAGAACAGGTTTAAGCCGAGCGTTGGCCAGAGTTGCCAATGTAGCTATTTTCCCTCTAGATCTAGCGGCTTACATTTTATGTAATGTACCAACTGGTAACACTAATCCCACATTAAGTATTAAAATACTAAGGTGTGGTATATAAATACGCAAAATGCCTGCGAAAATGTAAAGTGTCAAGTATGTAAATAAAATAATTACAAATATTTAAGTTATGTAAGTATGATAAATATATGAAAATTATATGTGTATATTTATTACCCAAAGTAGAGGCTTTTAATTAAGTAACTGAACTTGTAATACGGTCAATAGCAGCAGATGAAATGAAAAAAGTTATCCTACTTTTGCATTGAAATTATTATCTGTTTGTAATTCTAATAACTGTTAACTTCCTTAAAATTATATATGATTAGTATATTTTAAATTGTGCATTGTTTTTTGTTTCCATTGTACCCATTGTTATGGCAGCCAAATAACTGAATTTTTATGGCGAAAAAAGGGTTAAAATTTTTGTCAAAAATACAAAATTCAAATTTTTGTCAAAAATTCAACATTTTTTTCCGGGTTTTCCATCGTAGTTCAGCCAAATCAAGGCGTACAGCTAAAAGACCGACTGTTTTGAACAGCTTGCTAAATATGCAAACGATCCTCATCACTTTTACGAAAATTTATTTTTTGACCAATTTTCTCAATTTTTGTAGGGTTACATCACTTTATTTTCGAAAAATGTCAAAAATTAAAAATTTTCAGGTTGATGCCAATCGATTGGAAATTAAACAACGAACTCAACGAGGTGTGACTTTCCTCATTCTGACTTATATTTTTGTTATAGCAGCCAAAAAACTGAATTTTTATGGCGAAAAAAGTGTTAATATTTTTGTCAAAAATCAAAATTTAGATTTTTGTCAAAAATTCGAAATTTTTTTCCGTTTTTTCCATCGCAGTTCAGCCAAATTAAGGCGTACAGCTAAAAGACCGACTGTTTTGAACAGCTTGCTAAATATGCAAACGTCCTCATCACTTTTACGAAAATTTATTTTTTGACCAATTTTCTCAATTTTTGTAGGGGTTACATCACTTTTTTTTGAAAAATGGCAAAAATTTAACATTTTCATGTTGAAATGTCAATCGATTGGAAATTAAACAACGAGCTCAACGAGATATGACACTCCTCATTCTGACTTATATTTTTGTTATGGCAGCCAAAAAACTGAATTTTTACGGCAAAAAAAGGTTTAAAATTTTTTAAAAAATACAAAATTCAGATTTTTGTCAAAAGTTTGACATTTTTTTCCGTTTTTTCCATCGTAGTTCAGCCAAATCAAGGCGTACAGCTAACAGACCGACTGTTTTGAACAGCTTGCTAAATATGCTAACGATCCTCATCACTTTTTGGAAAATTTATTTTTTGACCAATTTCCTCAATTTTTGTAGGGTTACATCACTTTTTTTTAAAAATGGCAAAAATTTAAAATTTTCAGGTTGAAATGCCAATTGATTGGAAATTAAACAACGAGCTCAACGAGGTATGTCATTCCTCATTCTGACTTATATTTTTGTTATGGCAGCCAAAAAACTGAATTTTTATGGCGAAAAAAGGGTTAACATTTTTGTCAAAAATACAAAATTCAGATTTTTGTCAAAAATTCGAAATTTTTTTCCGTTTTTTCCATCGTAGTTCAGCCAAATCAAGGCGAACAGCTAAAAGACCGACTGTTTTGAACAGCTTGCTAAATATGCTAACGATCCTCATCACTTTTAGGAAAATTTATTTTTTGACCAATTTTTTCAATTTTTGTAGGGGTTACATCACTTTTTTTCGAAAAATTAAAATTTTTAGATTGAAATGCCAATCGATTGGAAATTAAACAACGAGCTCAACGAGGTATGACATTCCTCATTCTGACTTATATTTTTGTTATGGCAGCCAAAAAACTGAATTTTTATAGCGAAAAAAAGGTTAAAATTTTTGTCAAAAATACAAAATTCCGAATTTTGTCAAAAAGTCGACATTTTTTCCGTTTTTTCCATCGTAGTTCAGCCAAATCAAGCCGTACAGCTAACAGACCGACTGTTTTGAACAGCTTGCTAAATATGCTAACGATCCTCATCACTTTTAGGAAAATTAATTTTTTGACCAATTTTCTCAATTTTTGTAGGGGTTACATCACTTTTTTTCGAAAAATGGCAAAAATTAAACATTTTCAGGCTGAAATGCCAATCGATTGGAAATTAAACAACGAGCTCAACGAGGTATGACATTCCTCATTCTGACTTATATTTTTGTTATGGTAGCCAAAAAACTGAATTTTGATAGCGAAAAAAAGGTTAAAATTTTTGTCAAAAATACAAAATTCCGAATTTTGTCAAAAATTCGACATTTTTTCCGTTTTTTCCATCGTAGTTCAGCCAAATCAAGCCGTACAGCTAACAGACCGACTGTTTTGAACAGCTTGCTAAATATGCTAACGATCCTCATCACTTTTAGGAAAATTTATTTTTTGACCAATTATATTTTTGTTATGGCAGCCAAAAATCTGAATTTTTATGGCGAAAAAGGGTTAAATTTTTTGTCAAAAATACAAAATTCAGATTTTTGTCAACAATTCGACTTTTTTTTTGGTTTTTCCATCGTAGTTCAGCCAAATCAAGGCGTACAGCTAAAAGACCGACTGAATGTAGAATTTCCTTTACAACTTTATTCAACTCTTCCTTGAAGAGAAACGGTTTTTACGCTTAACTGCTTAAAAATGTTGGTTTGAAATTCTATACAGTGAACACCCTTGGTTTAAATAAGCTAAATGATTTGCGTGAGCAGAGAAATTTAAATTAAATCATCAATTTGATCAGTGTCCACAAGATGATTCCAGCAATGACCCAAAGTACAGTCATAAGACTATAATGAAAGATCTTCAATCTAGTTTATTGAGAGAGGATAAATTGTGGAAAAAAGTGGAATTTCTTCATAAAACTTACCGCTGCAACAGTCGTCGACCCTGGTCGATGGATTCCTTGGTTGGAGGTTCCTTCCCCAGGTAAAGTCGCATGCCCAACAGGGCCTTCTGGAAGTACTTCTCCCAGTTAAGTGCCTCCATATCGAAGTTGTATATTCGACGTTCCTCAGGTGACATCAAGGCCCTTAACCGATCTGCGCTCTTCGTCTCAAAGTACCAACTGTTGTGCATAAAGTGCTGAAGAATTGCAACATTGGAATGAATAGATCGGTAAAGCTTGACCAGACGAGGTTTCCTTCCCGAAAGTCTTAGTGCCAGATCAAAAAAAAACCCGGGTATAATGTGATAAAAGAACGCGGCTAATGGATATAGCCACGTTGTGGACATGTTGTGCACGAACGGGTACCAGATCATCTTGGTCAGCGGAAACTTATCTCGAAAGGTTAACGCGAAGTTTATAAAGTCCGCATTGGTCAGTAGGTTCTTTTCACTGGGTGCTAAAGTGTAGATGGCGGGTTGTAATTTTGGATCTCTTGGGGTTATTTCCTTAGATGTTTGCCAAACACTGGCCAAAGCCGCATTTGCGCAGTAGTCCACGGGCACCACGCAGGCGTAACCCTTTTTATCGTAGGTAATTAGGCGGAGAACTCCATGACCCACGCCATACATGAGAGCAATGGGGCCGTACAGATTGTCAATCCACCCACATACAGGCTCTTTGTGGGTGGCAATTACTGCGGAAGAAAAAACAAACTGTTTTAAGGAGTTCTAGCCCTCATGCCATCTAATTTACTTACTAACAGACGGTCGAAAGATACTCAGGGGAAGGTCTCCGGATTCTCGCAGGACTACGTCCTCTGCCAATGCTTTGGTATAGGTATAGGTGTTGGGATAGTCTCCCTGAAGAATGGGTGTCAGGTTGTCCATTATGCGGTCACTTAGCAGCTCACTCATGGCCAAAACCTTCTCGGAATCGCAGGTCAGATGTTCGGGATAGAATTTCTCCTCGACTCGAAATAGGACGCAGTTGGAAAATGCCGTGGAGATGTGCAGATAAGCCTCCAGATGCATCATCTCCTTGGCCAATTGGAGCATTAGTCTCGTGGCCCTTGTATTGATCGCCAAAGCAACATGAAGCGGCTCATTGAAACGCACGGTGGCTGCTCCATGGATGACTATATGGACCTCGGAAGCCAAGAGCTGGCGATCCGACTTACTAATTCCCAGATCGAATTCTAAACAATCGCCTGCGATTATGGAGATCCGATTAAGTGCCTCTGGCTTTGCCTGTAGCAGGACTTCAAAGAGCTTATGGGGTAAGAAAAATCTTTATCCTAATCTCGGAGCCTTCTTTACTTTTTACTCACTGGTTCCTTTTTCCATAAGGCAATGCGTTCCTGAATGTCCTGACCCCGTTTTGGCCTAATCATTGAGTAAATACGTTTCACATCCGTAGTTCGCAAAAGCTTTTCAATTATCACTATGAAATGGAGAATCAACTTGAAAATAATTTTTATACAGTTTCTCTTCGCCGTTTACCTTTTCCCAAAAATCCGGTGGCACCTGTTAAAAACACCACCTTGTCTTTATAAAATCCTTGGATACCGCTGTCCATTTCGGAACTTGATACTGCGTTTTTCGGTGACATTCTGAAGGAAATCTCCCGAAGCTTGCAAGTTGAAAACAAACTTCAATCGAAAATCAATTGGGTATGCTCGCTCTTTTTATATATGCTGCGCCGATAGACGCAGTGTCATTTGTACAGTGACCCGGCCAATCGTATGCAAAATTAACCCATATACACGAGTATCTTATGAATAGTCACAGGTACAGCTGCGGTTGGATTGCATTTATCGCTCCCGACAGGCGTTGAAACATTTGATAACTGCACATTCATCCGTGTTTGCAATTTTTTTATTTAGGCGCGTGTTTTATTATGAACAGACCTTTCGAAATATATATTAAGCTTTCATTAGCTTTACAGCCAATTTTACAAGAAGTCATTGGTTCAACAGCAATCCAAAAAAAGTTTACATTCACACTGATAACTTTTTGCAATAGCGATTAATTTACATTTCTAATGATCG